AGTTTCACCTTGAGCATTGAAGAGCATATTGTTCTAGTCACTTCTCAGAAAAAATAATAGGGCTATTCACTTCTGTATTTGTTATTCTACATATGTCACAATGTCTTAATAGTATGCTGTTGCCAAATCATATGAGGTTGGGTAGCTGCCACCTTATTTCTGCTAATATCAGAAAGAGCCCTTTTTGTGATCATGTATATTCATAAGTATTCAGATGTAGTGGTAAAGAAAGCAGGAGCTCGGAAGGCAATGTGGGTTTTTTTTTGTTGTTATTGTTGTTGTCTTTTGAGTAAAGACTACTGGTAGGAAAAAGAGCAGAGAAAAGAAAGGGAGAAGAATATGACATTTCTCAGACTTTTGCTCAGAGAGAATATTTGTTTCACCAAATAGTGTCCTTCTGTCTAGGTTTTGGCTCACAGACTGATTTAGGATTATGCAAGTAGGTGCCTTTTAAGGAACATACCAGTTATACACAGTGAGGGACTTTCAACCTCTTTCTCACTAGTAAGAATGATGAGGGCGATTTGGGTGATTAAGATAAATTTTACAATAATGACTTTGTAGTGAAAGGTAGTATTCCAGGTCTGAGGAAAAAGAGAAGGCTAATTATGGGTAGAATAGTGATCTTCTTGCAGGGACCTAACAAGTTGTAATTTTTGTCTTTCATTTTTCTTTTAAAGAGTAGTTATTAGATATCCCACATCTGTTAGACAGTGCTACATCGATGCCCTTCTGAAAATGGAAATATTTTCATCAACAAAACAGAGTTGAACTGATTAACATGGGGCTAGTTTTAGATTTTATTTATTTTGGTGTGAACTTTTAAAGTTTTCCTGCAGAAATATTAACATGGTTGGTTATGGGATATTGCCATAGACCCTGCTAAGGATGTTATATAAATATGTAGAAATAAATAAATAAATAAATAAATAATAATAAATAGGTAGTACATCCAAGGTTACCTTTTCAAAATCTGGCTACTTTTGAAATATGAAACTTATGTGACCCCCAGGTAGGGGATCGTGGAGCTGTATTTTATATTTGGTGGTGTATGTGGAATCTCACAACACTTCCCTCAGAGATTCGGGATTGGGGTGCAGATTCTACTGTTGTAACCAGTACTGTAAGTGATTTTTCAGCATTGAAAGTTTGGAAAGTAGAGCCTGTAGCCGAATTCCTGACTGCTTATCCACTGGTTGACCAGAATTACCTCTTAGAAATTAGTTTTCCTACTTCTGGCCTCTCCCACTCCACTTCCTCAGTTCCTTCTTCTGAGGAAGAGGACCATTTTTTTTTTTTTAATTTTTAAGAAAGCTACCATCTTGAAGAGGTAGAGTTTAGGAGACCTGAGTTCTAGTTAGTAGTTACTGTTCTGCATGCCAGTAGCTGTGCAGCTGTGAGCGCATCACTTAGCCTCTCTGTGCCTCCGTTTCCTCACCTGTAAACGGGAGGAAGGGTCCCCAGATGGAAACGTCAAACTACGTATCAGATTATACCTGTATGCTCATAATACTCCATTACTCAAAGAGTAGCAAATACTTGTGTCTGTTAGAAAATATTCATATTTCCATCCTTTGAGGATGACATTAATTATATTGATAGAGTATGTCATACTTCATTGGAGGCCAAAAAAATAATGTTCTAGCCATTAACATGGACTTAAGAAAATAAACCTAAACAACTTACTTTTGAATAGATGATACTTAGTAAAAACTTAAAAAACGTGAAGTGTATATACTGGAAAGTATTTTCATCCTGCCTAACTTCCACTTCCTCTTCCAGAGGCAACCACTGTCCCCAGTTTCTTGTGTATCCTTCCAGAGCTAAAAGTCTTACCGTAATAGGTAGTTAATAAGTAATGTTCCAAATTTATAAAAATTGGAGGAACAATTAGTTTTTAGAAGCATGAGGGTAAATAGCACAAGAAATAGCTAAAAGAGACAAAAATGATTGAAGTGGCCTACCATGACCAGGATAATTGCTTGTTTTTAAATTATATATATATGTGGGATCCCTGGGTGGCGCAGCGGTTTGCCGCCTGCCTTTGGCCCGGGGCGCGATCCTGGAGACCCGGGGTCGAATCCCACGTCAGGCTCCCTGCATGGAGCCTGCTTCTCCCTCTGCCTGTGTCTCTGCCTCTCTGTCTCTCTCTGTGTGACTATAATGAATAAATAAATAAAATCTTTAAAAATAAATAAATAAATTATATATATATGTATTTTGAAATTTTTGTATATACATTCATGAGAGACAGAGAGAGGCAGAGACATAGGCAGGGAGAAGCAGGCTTCTCTCAGGGAGCCTGATGTGGGACTCAATCCCAGGACCCTGGTATCACAACCTGGGACAAAGGCAGATGCTCAACCACTGAGTCACCTAGGTGCCCCATTACCCAGGTGCCCCATTAAATTATATTTCGATAGAAATGAAAATTAATTTTAAAGGCAGAAAATATAGATAAAAATGACACAAAATTGGCTAGTATTATAGCTCTAGATGTAACCAGTTACATATTTAGTTTATGTATACCTTTGTTTCAAGAAAAATCAAAATACCTTGGGGTGCCTGAGTGACTCATTCAATTAAGCATCTGCCTTCGGCCCGTGTAGTGATCCCAGGGTTCTGGGATCAAGTTCCTCATTAGGCTCCTCATTAGGATCCCTGCTTAGCAGGGAGCCTGCTTCTCCCTCTCCCACTCCCCTTGCTTCCCTGCTTGTACTCCTCTCTCTCCCTCCCCTCCCTCCCTCTCTCTCTCTCTCTCAAATAAATAAATAAATAAATAAATAAATAAATAAATAAATAAATAAAAATTTTTTTTTTTAAATTGAAAGACCTAACCTCCCCCCACCTCAAAAGGAGCAGTTATGTGAGGTGTTGGATGTCTCTCTCTCTCTCTTTTTTTTTTTTTTTTGGTGTTGATGTCTTAATGAATTCTGTGGGGGAACCCTTTTACAGGGTATACATATATTAAATCCTCATGACATACATTTTTTTTTTAAGATCCACTTACTTATTTGAGACAGAGAGAGGGGCTAGGGAAGGGGCAAAGGGAAAGGAAGAGAGGGAATCCCAAGCAGGCTCCAGGCCCAGGGCAGAGGCTGGCTTGGAGCTCAGTCCCACAACCCTGAGATCATGACATGAGCCAAAATCAAGAGGCAGATGCTTAACCAACTGAGCCATCCAGATGCCGCCTCATGTTGTACACTTTAAATATCTTACACTTTGGGGGTACCTGGCTGGTTTAGTTGGTAGAGCATGTGACTCTTGATCAGAGGATTTTGAATTCAGGCTGCACATTGGGCATGGATCCTACTTAAAATATATATTACTTTTTTTTTCTAAAAATTTTATTTATTTATTTGAAAGAGCTAGAGAGTAAGAGAGAACACAAGCCATGGGGAGGGGCAGAGGGAGAGGGAGAAGCAGACTTTACGCTAAGTAGGGAGCCCAACACAGGGCTCGATTCCAGGACCCTGGGACCATGACCTGAGCTGAAGGCAGACGTTTAACCAACTGAGCCACCTAGGTGCCTCAAAAATCTGACATTTTTATTTGTCAGTTATACCTCAGTAAAGCTGAAAAAAAAATTGAAAGAATAGTACATAAACACTTGTAAGCTACCATATAGATGTTAACATTTTGCCATACTCTATGTGTATTTTTGTGTACATAGAATTTTTTTTTCTGAATCATTTGAAATGGGTTGCAGATAAGACAGTTTACCCCTAACTACTATTGGCTAACCACTAGTAGTGTGCAATATCCTGCATAACCATAATACTATTATCACACCTAAGAAAATTAACACTAATTTCCTAGTATCATTTCATATTTGAGTTTCCCCAATTGACCCCAAAACATCTTTTTTTTTTTTTTAAGTAATCTCTACGCCCAGTGTGGGGCTTGAACTCTAAACCCTGAGATCAAGAGTTGCATGCTCTACTGACTAAGCCAGGCAGGTACCCCTTAAAATGTCTTTTGTAATTGGGATTTTTTTTCTTATATGTATTTTGTTCTTTTGAGCCAAGATCCAGTTAATTATGCATTACATTTGTTTATGTCTATCTAGTCCTTTTTGATCTAGAATAGTCTTCCACCTTTATTTTCATGACATTGAAATTTTGAAGACTAGAACAGTTGTCTTGCAGAGTGTCCATATGCATGTATATTTTTTAAAATAACAAAAATGAGTCAGTCAACTTCTTATCCAGCCTTGTCCAGCACAGTTAGTTCACATATTTCCCTCATTTGAAATGCCTTTCTGGTATCGTATCTGCTTATTGAAGTAGAATTCTACAATTTGTTGAGTAGTGGAAATTCAGTAAGATAGAAAAGGCTGGTCTTCAAGTCCTAATTATGTGACTGACAAGCTGTATGACTTTGGCAAAATTATTTCCTCTGAGAGTTAAATGCCATCAAATAGCCCATCATTATTAGATATTGTAGGAAAGTAAGTCTGGGAGGAGTATAGAAGCAGTGATTTGTATCAGGAATGTGATTGAACTTCAGGTGAATTGTGGTGAAGCGTAAATGAAATAACAACTACAAAAAGTTTTGAACATAAGCTATTATGTAAGGGTAACACACTGAGTGACCAAACAGGAGGAAGATGTTTGGGGGATGGGAGGCTATGCTGGAATACTGCTAGTGTAATTATTACAGTTTTAAGGAATGTTTCAGAACTTCAGGTGGCCTAATAGTACTACTTGAAACTCTTTTGGGGGAAATTTTTTTTTAAAGATTTTATTTATTTATTCATTCATGAAAGACACACAGAGAGAGGCAGAGACACAGGCAGAGGGAGAAGCAGGCTCCAGGCTGGGAGCCCTATATGGGACTCGATCCCAGGTCTCCAGGATCTCGCCCTGGGCCAAAGGCAGGCACTAAACCGCTGAGCCACGCAGGGATCCCTTGGGGGAAATTTTTTAAATGATACTACTCTCAGTTGCTTTCTGGAGTGGGGATAATTATGGATCTCGTTTCTTCTCTTGTTCTTACAGCTGTATTATCAAGTCCTAAATTTTGGAATGATTGTCTCCTCGGCACTAATGATCTGGAAGGGGCTGATGGTCATAACTGGAAGTGAAAGTCCAATTGTAGTGGTGCTCAGGTAACAATTTTTCTTTTCAAGGCATAGAATTGCATGGTATTACTTAAGAGAAAAACTGAGAAATTAAATAACTATTGTATTATTCCTCTAGAAACTATGGTTTCCCAGAAAAGGACCTGAAAGAAAATTAGTTACTATTCTTCAACTGTGAGAAAATGTGCAGCCTCATTAGGCACTTAGAATTCAGACCCCCAAGGGCTCATGACTTCTCTATAAAACGTTTACAATGTGAGTTTTATTTTTGGCACATCTCTTAAGAAAAGTGTTTCAATGTGTACTGTATTTTCCTGAAATTCTTATGTCTTCTTCCTTTTCATACATCAGGGCTGCTCTTTAGTTGTCAGTTTGCTGGATTAGGTATCCTCTCCACGAATTAACAGTTTTTCTGCAGCATGTTCTCAGTGTCAGTACAGAAGCATCACTAATTATTTCCATGTTTCCTGCTGACCTTTAAATATCACTTCTAAACAGACTTCAGAAATTTTGAAGATATTAGCTGCCTCTTAAAGTGGCAGTACTGAATCTTTTCCCACTGCTTCCTTCTCTGTCCTTGAATCATACTCTAATGATTTTAAAATCCTAAACTAGTAACTAACTCCATTTTGGAGAATTACCACTTCCTTGTTTAAGTGAATCGTTATAGTTCTGTCTTATTTGGGACTTAATTATGTAAGCTATTTCAAGTCTTTTCAAGAGATAATGGTATATAAATATAAAAGAAATCATTAACATTATCTAGAGTCTATTAAGTACTGTTACTTAAATAGTACATTACTCTTAAGATCAATTTGATTCTGGGATGCCTGGGTGGCTCAGTGGTTGAGCATCTGCCTTCGGCTCAGGGTGTGATCCTGGGATCTGGGATTGAGTCCTGCACCAGGCTCCCTGTGGGGAGCCTGCTTCTCCCTCTATGTCTCTGCCTCTCTCTCACTCTGTCTTGCTCATGAATAAATAAATAAATCTTAAAAAAAATCAATTTGATTCCTTCATTGTCATATTTGGATATACAGGCTTTAGCAACAAGTGGTTCCAAGACCCACTGTTTTGCTCTTACCTCATTCCTACTCTTACTCATACCTTTGTTCTATGTTTATTAATGAACACATCCAGCTGTAATTTTGGAGATCCAAAGGCACGTATGTATTTTATTAGCTGGGAAAGCATTTAATGTACTACTCTGGGAGTACAGAGACAGGGCCCCAAGTTCCCAGACAGTTTTAAATTCAGTGGAGAGCTTCAGTTTCAAACACTGACAGAAGGAGAAGCCACACTAATTGGCCTTGTGGGAATAGGGTATAGTGAGAGAGCCCAGGGAGGCTTCTTTTAGAGATTCTTCTGGGATTATTTCATATTGAGCTTCCTTCAGTGGAGATGCTTAAGGACAATCTAATGACCTTTAAATTGGGGATGTTGGCGTGAAGAGGGGATTCCACTGAGGACCTGCTCAACACAGTGGTGGTCCTGGAAATAGTTCATTTCTGCTACAGCTGGAAATTTGATAGTATCAGTTGGGGCTTAAAAGTGGTGTTTGGACAAGTTATTTCGCAGGAAGGTTTATTTATATACTAGGCTTTTCTGATTACCAATGTGAAATAAAGAAAGGAAATTAAGAGAGACCAGGTCCTATTGGAACAAAATCTGGTCAAGACTAGAAGAAGCAGTCATTAGAGAAAAGTAATGTATGTGGTTCGGTGGCCAAGAAAAACCATGTATTATAATAATTATCTGGCACCAAATATGCCTCAGAGGATTCAAGGTAACTGAGAATCCACTTTTAGGACTGGGTGAGGTCATTGGGGATAAAGACAAATAACTTTTTTAAATAAAAATACTTACTTTAGGGCACCTGGGTGACTTAGTCGATTAAGTGTCTGACTTCAGCTCAGGTCATGATTCTGGAGTCCTGGGATCGAGCCCCAAGTCAGACTCCCTACTCAGCAGAGAGCCTGCTTCTCCCTCTCCCTAGGCGCCTCCACCATGCTCTCTGTATCTCAAATGAATAAATAAAATCTTTTTTAAAAATTATTTTTTAAATTCCAATATTTAACACACAGTGTTATGTTAGTTTCAGGTGAGGATAAATACTTTCTTATTATTTTTTTAATTAGAGTTTCAGGGAACGATCAAAACTTTTTTTTCCCATTTATAGATAGAGCTGAAGTCAGTTTAAAAATATTTAAGTGGTTTATATTTAACTTTTTTTTTAAAGATTTTATTTATTTATTCATGAAAGACAGAGAGAAAGAGAGAGAGAGAGAGAGAGAGAGAGAGAGAGGCGGAGACACAGACAGAAGCAGGCTCCACGCAGGGAGCCTGATGTGGGACTTGATCCCGGGACTCTAGGATCATGCCTTGGGCCGAAGGCAGGCGCTAAATCACTGAGCCACCCAGGGTTCCTCTATATTAAACTTCTTATAAAATTTACAATTGATGTATTAAATTTAAAAGTATACTTTAATCAGGTAATGGTAAGAAGTTTACTAATATATTTAATGTTTAAAAGGTTTCCCCTAGTTTATTTCTTCAATGGTCCTCTCACTGCACACTGTTTTTAAGATTTATTCATTTATTTGAGAGAGAGGTGGGGGCGGGGGGCAGAAGGAAAGAGAATCCTAAGCAGAAAGCTGAGTGTGGAACCCAGTGCAGGGCTGGATCCCATGATTCTGAGATCTGGACCTGAGCTGAAATCAACAATCAGAAACTCAACCGACTAAGCCACTCAGGTGCCCCACTACGCCTGTTTTTAATGCCACCTGTATCTGAATTTTTAAATCTTTTTATTTTTCATCCAACTTTCTTCCCTAAAATCTAGACTCTTGTTTTCATCCTGCACTGGACATCTCCATCTGAACATTGACCAGGCACTTGAAACTTCTTGTAATAAAAGTAAAATTCGTCTCCTTTTTCCACACACTTGTTCTTTTTCCTCTTATTTCTGTGACTATCACTGACATCTGCTCCATTGCCATTGTTAAAAACCCAGGTGTCAGGGCAGCCCCGGTGGGTTAGCGGTTTAGCGCCGCCTTCAGCCCAGGGCGTGATCCTGGGGACCCGGGATCAAGTCCCACATCAGGTTCCCTGCATGGAGCCTGCTTCCCCCTCTGCCTGTGTCTCTACCCCTCACCCCCGTGTCCCTAATAAATAAATAAAATCTTAAAAAAAGAAAAAGAAACCCAGGTGTCATCCTCCTCACCCCATTATATCAGGTTGGCCATCAAATTTGTTATTTTTCCTCCTCTTTCTTAGACTCTTTTATAGTTGTCTTCCCTGCTGCTGTTCTGTTTCAGGCCCTCCTCATTTCCTGCCTGGGCTGTTGTAGTGACCTCTAAAAATACGCTTTTAGAATCAGCAAGAGTTTATATATTTTCATTATATGAAATGTTGAAAACACAAAAAGTCTACCCATAGTTCTGGGATATAATCACTATTAACATTTTAGTTTCTTTTTTCTTTTCTTTTTTTTTTCTTTTTTCATGTATATTCTTTTTTCTTTCTTGAGCCCGACGTGGGACTCGATCCCGGGACTCCAGGATCGCGCCCTGGGCCAAAGGCAGGCGCCAAACCGCTGAACCACCCCAGGGATCCCCTTTTTTCATGTATATTCTTATGTAATTGAAGTAATTCTATATGTGCATCCTTTATGTGTCCCCTTATGATTCTCCTGTGTCCATATTTTTAATAACACTTTTAATGATTGCCAAGAATTCATTTATAAGTATTGGCCTGGACACCTGGTCTGCCAGTCTACCTTTTGGCCTTTTCTAGTTACTCATTAATTCAATAAATATTTAAATGTGCTCTGCATATTCTGTACCTTCTGAAATGATGACTTTTAAATGTAAACGTGATTATGATACTCCCCGCTGAAAATTCTAGAGTGGCTCAGAGGCAGGTTAGCACAGTGAGAGTGGATTCTGTTGGACTCCCTGTTCAAATTTCACCTTTATCATTTTTTTTTAATTTTTTTTTTAATTTTTTTTTTTTTTTTTTATTTATGATAGTCACACAGGGAGAGAGAGAGAGAGGCAGAGACACAGGCAGAGGGAGAAGCAGGCTCCGCGCACCGGGAGCCTGACGTGGGATTCGATCCCGGGTCTCCAGGATCGCGCCCTGGGCCAAAGGCAGGCGCCAAACCGCTGCGCCACCCAGGGATCCCATTTTTTTTTAATTTATAACTATACCTTTCTAAGCCTCAATTTCCTTGTTTGTAAAGTTAGGATAATAAGAGTATCTACATCATAGAGTTGCTCTGAAGATTGCTTAAAAAGAAACAACTTAGAATGGCACTTTGTATACAGTAAGTGCTTAATAAAAATGAGCCATTACACTATAGCAGCTCAACTTTTATCTGTTTTATTTTTTAAAAGATTTTATTTATTTATTAGAGAGACGGAGAACACAAGTGGGATGGGAGGCACAGAGAGAAGCAGACTCCCCACTGAGCAGGGAGCCCAATGGAGTCTCAATCCTGGGACTCTGATCCTACTGTCCCGGGATCAATTCCCACATCCAGTCCCACATCAGGCTCCCTGCATGGAGCCTGCTTCTTTCTCAGCCTCTGTCTCTGTGTCTCTCATGAATAAATAAATAAAATCTTAAAAAAAAAAAAAAAGAAAGAAAGAAAGAAAGGAAACTGGAGCTTGAGTTTTGAAAATTATACTTATGGGCTGCTTTTTTTTTTTTTTAATGTATTCATGAGAGAGACCCACAGAGAGGCAGAGACCTAGGCAGAAGGAGAAGCAGACTCCTTACAGGGAGCCCCATGAGGGACTTGATCCTGGACTCCTGGATCATGCCCTGAGCCAAAGGCAGACACAACTGCTGAACCACCCGGGCATCCCTAGGCTACTTCTAAACAGCAAGAAAAGGTTAAATTGCTGCAGATATCTTAGGACCTTGAAGAACTTGGTATAGTATAGGACAGGGGAGAGGTGAGAAGGCATTCTAGAAGTTTGTCCTCACTAATTACCACAGAATTGAAGCCTTTCCTTGTTTCTGAAATTCTTAAAAAATCTCTGCTATTATTCTTAGTTTTCTTTCTTGTTTCTCTTTTTAAAATAAATAAGTTGATAACAGAAGCATTATCTTGGTAGCTGACTGTTCTTTGACTTGATGGGCTGTTTTCCCTTCTTAATGGGTCAAAACTGTAAGGTCATCTTAGTCTCTATAAATGGCAGAAGATGATCCAGTTCTCATTTGAATATTTGAATGTATTTAGCATTTTCAGATGAGGTGAGGATAAGGGCAGTGATTATAAAGTTCATTCTTTTATATTTTATATTTGTCACTTGAAATTTTAAAAGGTTAAGGAATTAGTAACATTGCCCTTTTCAAGACTGAAGCTCCTTTGAATAGTAATGCTTGAAACAAATCTAGTCAGTAAAGGCTAATAACTATAGTAACTTTTGTGTAACTTGTTAGTTTGTGGAAACCATATTTTGAGAACAACACACATGGATGCTGATATATTTGTTAAAGTATCAAATATACTCCAGGGATGATACTTGTGATTGGTTAACTTTTGAAAGTGAATTGAATCTTACACTTTTTGTTTTCTATATATTCTTCTCTCTCTCCTAGTGGCAGCATGGAGCCAGCATTTCATAGAGGAGATCTTCTCTTTTTAACAAATCGAGTTGAAGATCCCATCCGAGTGGGAGAAATTGTTGTTTTTAGGATAGAGGGAAGAGAGATTCCTATAGTTCACCGAGTCTTGAAGATTCATGAAAAGTATGTGCAAACTGTATCTTCTCTGTTTTAAGATATTTTCATATTTTATGTTTGCAGTATTTAATTTTGATAACCTGAAGGCTAAGAAGAGTGGGAAATGCCTCGGTTCTTCTTCCAATCCATTTTTTATCAATGTCTGAAGGCTTGGTGAACATTTAGAAAATTATTTATTAATTTATTTATTTATTTTCTAGAAGTTTTTCTTGGTTTTCTTTTTACTTCCCAACCAGATCCCCCTTTGTATCACCCCCCCAAAAAAATGACATAAAGGTTGATCCCAAATAGAATCTTCCAATGTAATTGATGAGGTAGCCCTCCCTAATCTTTCCAAAACAAAACAAAACAAAACCTTTATGGCAATCTAACAGCCATGTCAAATAACAATAACTTTTTTAAATTCCAAAGAAAATGTCTTTTTTTTTTTTTTTGAGATTTTATTTTTAAGTAATCTGTATACCCAACATGGGGCTCAAACTCACATCTCCAAGATCAAGGGTCACCAGTTGAGCCAGCCAGGTGCCCCTAAATTCCAAAGAAAATTTCTAAAATTAAGTTCCTCTTTTAAACGTAGACTCTTGCATTTTAGAATTAGAAAGAACATATGCAAAATCTTTAGTATCACCTGGACATGGATGTAGGCCATAACAATGAGCAAAAAATTTCACCTCTCTGGGTCTGTTTCCTTACCTGTAATATTAAGAGGTTTAGGAAGATGAATTACAAGATCTGTGAGTTCTGAGCCTATGCTTCCTTGTCCAGCTCCACATTCCTCACCCCCTCCCTTCCAAATACAGAGTATTCTAGTTATGGAAAGCATTCAGGAAGGAAGGAAAGAAAGAAATGAAGGAAAAGATAGGTATCCCGGAGGACACACAGAGGGGAATAAAAACAATGAGACAGTGATTTAGGTTCTTGAGAATGAGAGAGACTTAAATAAATATTATGTTATTCTTGCCCTACCCTCTAGAGTAATTTATTTTCTCCACTTAACCAAGAGGGGACTGCCAGCTGTTGCTTTTTGAAAATCCACATAACCACTTTAGTTTAAAAGAGTTCTTTCTTCATTGGTGAAATAAAGATCAGACTACTCTTTTTTTTTTTCAAACTTCAGTATATATTTTGAAAGATTATAAATTTTTTTATAGATTTTTGGAATTTTCCTTTCTTACTTGTAGTCCTTGTGGTTTAAAGATTATAATTTTAAAATGGCATTCTAGGGAACCCTGGGTGGCGCAGCGGTTTGGCGCCTGCCTTTGGCCCAGGGCGCGATCCTGGAGACCCGGAATCGAATCCCACATCGGGCTCCCGGTGCATGGAGCCTGCTTCTCCCTCTGCCTGTGTCTCTGCCTCTCTCTCTCTCTCTCTGTGTGTGTCTCTCATGAGTAAATACATAAAAAAATCTTAAAAAAGAAAAAAAAGTTTAAAAATAAAATAAAATAAAATGGCATTCTACCATTGACTAGGAAGGAATAACTAAACTCTTTTTAGAAATTTAGAAGTTTAGAATTGTGTAGGTTTATCCAGTACAGGTTCTCAAAGTGGATTTGCGTTATATTCTTAGCACTGCCTGTTGTTAGCAAAGCAGAGCCAACTTTTCCCTGAACTTATCAGGGAAAATCAAATGACACTCAGACCCTGCTTTGGGTTAGAGCAGAAGCATTTTTATATGCAATCCTTTGGAATTGAATGAATTTTTTTATTTTAAACAGTTTGATCTTGTTCTAGGGCAGGCTCACTGACAGATACTATAAAATAAAAAATAACAGAATTATGAATATTGTAAGATGTACGGTCCTACTAATCCCAGGTTTTTGGTGATTCATTTTAGACTCCTGAGATGTGTTCAACTTGAAGACCTGTTTATTTTATTTTATTTTTTAAGGATTTTATTTATTTATTCATGAGAAACACAGAGAGGCAGAGATGTAGGCAGAGGGAGAAGCAGGCTCCCTGTGGGGAGCCCGATGTGGGACTCGATCCTGGGATCCCGACCTGAGCCAAAGGCAAGTGCTCAACCACAGAGCCACCCAGGTGCCCAAAGACCTGTTTAGATAACAGGTCCAATTAATATTGTGAAGCTTCCAATTTCCTTTTTTCTTTTGGGGAGACTAAAATAACTGATTGTGATAATCATTTGATTTCATAGTGCTAACAATGTTCTTAAATATGGGACTAAATGACAGCCAGAATGGATGAAATGTTTATAATAAATGTGCCCTGAATGTTTTCAGGCTGAATTTTACACTGTTATTCATCTGAATGTTGTTTTAGGAAATAAAATCCTGAACTTTATGGGCAGCCCGGGTGGCTCAGCGTTTAGCGCCGCCTTCAGCCCAGGGTGTGATCCTGGAGACCCAGGATCGAGTCCCACGTCAGGCTCCCTACATCGAGCCTGCTTCTCTCTGCCTGTGTCTCTGCCTCTCTCTCTTTCTGTATCTCTCTCATGAATAAATAAATAAAATCTTAAAAAAAAAATCCTGAACTTTAGGAAGAATAGAAATAGGATTCATTCAGCTGACCTCTCTCTTTGGTCTCATTCCTCCTTTTTCTCTCCACCTACTGCTTACGTACCATGCCTTCTTTTTTCATATATTGACTCTCCATCTTGTGAACATTCTTATTATATAGCATAGAATAAGATACTGTATAAAATTGGGAAATAACAGCAAATAACACCATATGCAACCTTAACACCCAGAGAGAATGTTAAATTTTGGGTAATTCTCTCTGTTTCATAAATAGACATTTTCTTTCCTGTACAACACTGGGATCTACTCAATACAATTTTGGTAACATGTGTATCTCATGAACATATGGTAGAGGGTACCTGGTATTGCCACATATGCAAAGAATCCCTGAACTAAAAGATCAGCTTGCCAGGCACTGCTTAAAAATATATTGATAATAGGCCCATGAATCTGAATCTGCTCTTTCTGCCTAGTATGGTCATGACCTCTTACTACCTGTTCTCTAGAGGACACTAACGCCACACACTGAACTGTCTGACCAGGCAGTGGGAAAGCAGACGTAATCCAGGATGTAGCTCTAGTGCACTGTTGAGCTCAGGCAAAATGCTCTTGTAAGGGACATTAAGAAACTTCCAGTATTTGTAATAGGTCATTTGGAGGAGTATATAGTACATGGGGAAAAAGTGATCGGTAGTGTTTTCAAAAGACTCAACCTTCTCCCACATTTATTGAAGTTACTGTGTTTTTAAGTGAGTAAAAAATGGGGAATTCTTGCTCCTGGCTCATACAATAGGGCTGTGAGACATGTCCGCAGTCAGGGTTACCCATGCTCTGGCAGGTGGCGAAACATCTTCTTTGTGTCCTCTCCCCCCACCTACTCTCATTTTCCATTTTCTTCCAACAAAAATGAGTCAGGAAAGAACTAGCATATAGCGTTGTCTGTGTTTTCATTTGAGAGACATCATTTTGAATATTATCAGTTGACTTGATTCTCTTGGGTAGTTCTGCATATTAGCCTGCTAGTCATCTGCTCTTCATGCTTACGTTTTCCCCCACATATACATTTATTTTATTTTATTTTATTTTATTTTATTTTATTTTATTTTATTTTATTTTATTATTTTATTTTATTTATTTTATTTTATTTTATTTTATTATTTTATTTTATTTATTTTATTTTATTTTATTTTATTTTATTTATGAGAGACACAGAGAGAGGCAGAGACATAGGCTGAGGGAGAAGCAGGCTCCCTGCAGGAAGCCCGATGTGGGACTCAATCCTAGGACCCTGGGATCATGACCTGAGCCAAAGGCAGACTCTCCACCACTGAGCCACTCAGGTCCCCCCCCCCACACACACACACACTCATATAAATTTGTACTTTGTCTTATTTTATAGCCTACTCTGATACACATTTTCCAAGTTGAGCTTAGTATATAAGGTATTATAGTTTGATGCTGATGAATACTGGCACATGGTCAATTGTTTGGAAGGAGAAATTTTGCCATTGGGATGACTTAATCCTTAGCTTTGCTTTTTCTGTGCAGAGAGATAGATTGTTTTGTGCCCACTTGGCTTTTTAGGGTCTTACTTTTTCTTATATAGAAAGTGATTAATTCTTCCCGCCTAATATCACAGTATTATGATGGTTGAATTAAGCTGCAAGCACGTCGAGCTCCTTGGAGATTGATCATATTAAATATTTGGTCCATATGGCATCCAGGGAAGGCCCTGTGTAAGTGTGTCACCAGTTAGCCTTTGGGGCCTCTGGAGTGGGGAGTGCTGGGATGGATCTGGACAGTGGGTTGAGCAGGAGCCACTGCCACCATTGCCTCTGGGTGGATAGAGACCTACCTGCACTTTCTACCACAGCTCTAGCAGTCTCTCCCAGTACCATCCCAGGGCAGGGAACTCGGGTATGCTGGTGTGTTTTGTCTGCAAATGGAGTCTTTGAGGAGAGTCCCAGTCTCCTGTAGTGTCCCTGTCCTGTCCTGGGGAACGTTTCTGTTCCCCCATTTCCCTTTCCTCAAATTTGATGTTACTTTTCTGGGCTTGCTGTTGTTTTCATGGCTGAGTAGACTCTCCGTGCCTGTGCCCCTGACTTGCACTCTTGCAGCTGGCTCCCCTTGGCACCTGCCCTCTTTCACTCCAGAACTTTTTAGACACTTCCTCACTGAGTCGTCAGCTAAGGATTATTTTTCTCTGTATATATTTGCATTTTTTCTAACTGGAATCTCATTTTTAATGTGACTGTTTGCACTTAAGTGTTTTTAGTGTTTGCAACACCTTCCAATTTAGTTTCATCTGCACATTTAGTGTTTGGTGAGCCAGTTTCTGGCTTAGGATCTAAGAAGATATTAGTCAGTAGGAGTCAGAGGCTAATTTTCTTCTGATATGGTAGTTAACCCACACTCAACTTGAATCAGTTTTAAGATAGTCTTTATCAAACTGTAAAAAACTATACTTTGCCTTCAGTTAAATTTTAAAATTCCTAGAAACCTCCTGTTCTTTAGCAGAATTAAACTAATAATTTCCTGATCATGTAAAATGCTTTTCCTATAAACCCTGGCTCATAAAAGCAATGTATATTTTTTGGAGAAAAAAATTAGAAGCTGAAGAAAGCTGTAGATAGCTACTGTTATACCTTGGTCTATCACTTCAGATCTTTTTTACTCTTATTTTTTCTTTCATTTTAGTTTTTAAATATGGAGAATTTCTGAGGCACTTGGCTGGCTTATTAGCTAGTGGAGCCTGCAACTCATAATCTCAGGGTCATGTCAAGCCCCATGTTGGCCTACTTAAAAATAAAATATAAATAAATAAATAAACATGGAGAATTTCTAACATGCTCAGAAGTATACAAAACTGTATGATGAAATCCCATGTACTGTCATCCAGTCCCAATAATTATTAATCTATGGCCAGTTCTGCCCCACTTATATTACCACCTCTTTCCACTCTCCTTCCTGTATTATATGGATCAAATCCTAGATATCATGTCATGTCCTATGTAAAAATTTTAGTAAATATCTGTATAGCATAAGCAATGAGCTTTTAAAAAACATAACTACATTTAGCATGGTTATACCCCCCAAAGAACAACCATACCTTTGTATCATTATGTTTCCAATGTTTCCAATCTTTGTTCAAATTCCCAATTGTATCATAAGCTTTTTTTTTTCTCTTTTTAACAGTTTGTTTGAATCTAGATTCACATAAGGTCCTTGGTTGCAGTTGGTTGATAAGGCTTTTATAGTCTCTTTTATTTAACCTGTAAATTCTTTCTCCAACTTTCTTTGTTCCTCACAACTTGTTGGTTGAAAAAAGTAGGTTATTCTCTAATTTCCCTAGTATTTGTTGCAGATTATATCCTGTGGGGTTAGTTTAATATATTCCTTTCCTTTTTGTATTTATAGAAAATTGGTGGTTTGTGTTTAACTTAATATAAAAATGAGATTATACTGTATATACTATTCTGTAATCTTTTCTTCACTTAATAAAATGTTTATCATCTTCCAGTGTCATTAACTATTCTATTATAACATTGTCTTCAGTGCTTACATATTTAGACTTTCAGCATGTTTCCAGTTTTTCCCTAGTTACAAACACAGCTATGAACATCCTTTTAGCTAAATAGATAATTATTTTGATAGTAGGAATGATGATAAAATATTACAGTTCCACAGCATTTTTGGTTAAGAAAACCAAATTTTGTGCTTGCAGATGGCATGAAGATATTTGATAACTTGACTGTCTCTTACTCTTTTTTTCCCCTTACCCTTTTAAGGCAAAATGGACATATCAAGTTTTTGACCAAAGGAGATAATAATGCCGTTGATGACCGAGGCCTCTATAAACAAGGACAACACTGGCTAGAGAAGAAGGATGTCGTGGGGAGAGCAAGGGGGTAAGCATAAAGGGGAGCATTTACTGAGCTTTCCGTGTCACCTGAAACGTGGCCCTCTGTCATATCATCTGATCACATGCAATTGAATAGAATGTGTTGGTCATGGTTCTACCAAATCACCTTGTGTCCTTTGAAAAAAGTATGCTTCTTAAAAGGCATCTAAAACTTGAGGTCTACTGCTCCAGAGGGGAAGTAATGGGGTGCAGGAAAAGAGTAGCATATTAGTGATGAGATGATGAATTGGAGTGACAATTTTAAAAATTCGTTTATTTAATTCAAGAAATGTCATTGGGCACCTTCTTGTAAACCTTGCTAGTTTCGGGGTGGAGGGTGAGGGTCCAGAGCAGTATTGATCCTGCTTCCTGAAATCATATTTCTTAGGTAGTTACTGAGTCAGCAACTTAAAGTATTCATCTAAATTAATTTTATCATGTTTATTTCATACTGCTTTATTTCTAGTCTTAAAATCATTGAGGTCAAATGAAATTTAAAAGTTATATTAAGCCTATTTATTTCAGATTTTATCAGGAGAACAGATCAGTGGAGGACAGGAATTGTAAGTTACTGATATGAGGATGTATGGAATTGTTACTACCTTTTTGTTATTAATAGTATTAACAATAACTCACATTTATCAGGGCTTACTATGTGCCAGAGACTCATTCTAAATTCTTTACAAGTATTACTTCATTTTAACCACAGAACAACCCTAATATTTCCATTCTACAGATGAGGAAACACAGACAGGTTAGGTTCCTTATCTAAGGCCACGCTGATGATGATAAGTGGCTGGCTGACCCCGGAGCCTACCTCTTAACAGCCATCACACCAGAATTATTGGTGTAACACTTCTGAAAGTGGATAGGTTCTGGTTCTTGCTATTTAGAAGCCACATGGGGCTTTTTACCCTATCAGAACATCTGCTCCTTCTGTAAACACTGGATTCAGAGTGATTCTACTAGAGATCAGGCCACCACACTGAAGCATTCTCTTTCCACAGATAAGTCAGTGTGAGGTACTAAGTGAAAGCTGCCTCAGTTATAGCATAAGAGATGCTGTTTTGGGGTCAGAGAGATTGGAGCAGAGAAAGCCCCAGTGTGTTTTGTCTCTTTTAAAGCTGTTTGTGTGCATGCCTCCAGTTCAGAGGAACTTCATTTCCTGTGTTGGAGGTAAACATACTTTTTTTTTTCCTTAAGATTTTTATTTATTTTTAAGTAATCTCAACACCCAACATGGGGCTTGAACTCAGAACCCTGAGATCAAGAGTCACATGCTCCACCAACTGAGCCAGCCAGGCGCCTGAAACATACTGTTATAATACAAACTAGATCATCAGTGCTTCTGAGAAATCACACTCCCATCTCCCACAGCTCCTAAGATACTGCTAATGTGTTATTCAGACTTGTCAGTCTCCTTGAGTCTTTTTGTTCAAAGTCAGACTATACCCAGACCTTTAGAATAGCTTTTGTGTCTTTACACAATAAAAACAAAATTTTTTTCCAGATAGTTGCACACTAAAAAATTTTGCACTGAAGCCTAAGGCCCTAAATAAAAACAAGTTAAATAATTTTATTGAAATATCATTCATATATGCTAGGAGATACAATTCACCATTTAGAAGTATACAATTCAGTGGGTTTTATTATATCCACAAGGTTACATAGCCGTCAGCACTAATTTCAGAACATGTCCACACCCCAGAAAGAAAACTCCATTCTCATTTGCAGTCACTCCCCATCCCCTTTTCCCTGCAGCTCCTGGCAACCACTCATCTACTTTCTGTCTCTATGGGTTGCCTGTTCTGGACATTTTATATAAACCGAATCTTACAATACGTAGTCTTAATTTATGTCTGGTTTCTTTCACCTAGCATCATGTTTTCATGTTACAGCATATAATAAAAACAATTTTAGAAAATGAAACTAATACTGAACCAACTAAGTATTTAATATGGGAGATTCTTTCTCATTTGAGGAGGTTGAAAACAGAGGAGAAGCTGTTAGTGAAAGAAGAGCAGGAGCAAGAGGAGGAAAGGGTGAGAGACAGGCTGGAGGTCGGGAATGGAGAATATCGACAATGGAAAGAGATGTAAAGGAGAAGGAAGAAGCAGAGTAATTGAGCTCTCTGTCGACTGAAACCAGTTTTAAGGATGAGGCTTTTATTATTTATCCTTTTTTTTTTTTTTTTTTTTAAGATTTTACTTCTTTATTTGACAGAGAAAGCACAAGCCGGGGGAGCAGCAGGGAGAAGCAGGCTCCTCGCTGAGCAGGAAGCCCGACATGGGGGGCTTAATCCCAGGTGCCTGGGATCATGACCTGAGCAAAAGGCAGACACTTACCCCACTGAACCACCCAGGCGCCCCTGGGATGAGGCTTTTGAAATGTACCTTTTACTTAACTTGAAACAGATCATTCTGGAGTAGAAACAATGACCCCTTTTTTCAGTTAGCTGCCATGTTCTAGACTCCCAGATAGAGGCTCCTTTGACATCTGACAAAATTATTTTCTACAAATATCAGCAAGTAGTTTTTCCATCTGAGGGTCCTTCCTCACCAGTGCCTCCCAGGGGCATGTATTTCTCCATATTCTACCTTCTAGATGTTAACTTGGCACAGGCTGCTGTCAGAGATGACTTTGTGGGTGGCATGTTTTACTTCTTTGCAGCCTTCTTCTGCTTATTATCAACTCTGCGCTAGCAAAGTCTCTCCAAGCAGAGCAGGAAAGAGTGCACTGATAAGAATTTAAGATAACTGATGGCAGCAGCATTATGTACTTGCCTAGCAGCCCTTTCCTGCTCTGTCCATGGAGGGAAGCAATGACAAGCAATCAAATCTTTTCTTTGACTTCGGACTGCCTGTCATATTTTTTGCTTACATTACTCCTAAAGACCAAGTTGCTTCCATTTCTCTCATGGTGGGGCGAGGAAAAACCAACCGTAGAGGGAAAAATGTTTCCATGGAGAACTCATAGGCAGGCTGTGTGATCTGGGAGCTAAAGGTTCTCTGAGCATAGAAACTGCGTGGAGGGAACGGCAAAAGTCTCTATGACAATGGCTGCTGGTTGATCATCAGACCAGAATCAGCAGCCTGATACTGTTTTAGTAGAAATCACAGATGCTTTTATAGCTTTTAGTCTGCATGTTACTGTGAGGCATCTGCCTCCACCTTCTTAAATTAGATGAGTTCATTGAAAGCCATTGTTCTGATGAAGATCTTATGAGACAGCAGTTATAACCGTTACTGCATTACAAAGAAAAAAATACATATTAAAAACACAGAAAACCGGGGCAGCCCCGGTGGCCCAGTGGTTTAACGCCGCCTTCGGCCTAGGGCGTGGTCCTGGAGACCCGGGATCGAGTCCATAGTCTGGCTCCCTGCATGGAGCCCGCTTCTCCTTCTGCCTGTGTCTCTGCCTCTCTGTGTGTGTGTGTCTCTCATGAATAAACAAATAAAATCTTAAAAAAAAAAAAACCACATACACAGAAAACCTTTGTCTACCCTCCTAGAGCTTAGCTATGCCATTTTGCAGGGACTGTTACTTTTCAGCTCTTAGAGGTTCCAGGGGTTTAAACTAAAACATGGGCCTTAGGAGGGGATATTATTCGCCACCACATGCCTATTCCAGGCATCTCACTAGCTAGAGCTGAGCTTCTGGTGCTGTAGTGTGCAGAAGCATTATTTGGGCCCCACTTCCACAGATCCTCTGACTCAGTAAATCTGGGGAAGACACAGTAGTCTGCATTTTTAACAGGCTATCCAAGTGTTTCTGACAAAGGAGGCTTGGTTTTAGGAAACATCAACTTACAGAATGGAAGTTTGAAGATGAGGAGAGAGAGGGGTCCAGTAATGCCACCAGAAGGGAGAGGGGCAGGATGGGGTGAGGACAGGAGACAGGAAGTAAGAGAAGTTCTTCAAAGGAAGGAAGTACACCAAAGACAAAATTTCTGTTTTTCAAGCTTGCCTGAGCTTCAATGGTGGGGGTGTTATGTGGGAGGTGATTTCTGTTTGTTCACCTTTGGCACGTTGCACAGGTTGAAGATGCCCTGAATAGAAACATCTGGGCTATTTTAAAGTATGCAAAGTTCAGTCTCCACCTTAGCCCAACCTCCGTTCTCCAGGACAAACTCTAGGTCAGTATCATTGGGCCTGGCCTGCTCTAGAGTCAGCAGTAAAAGAGGAGGAGAAAGAACAAAGTTGTGAGTTTGCTAACTACCATTTCCTCCCACAGTGACGGGACCCGGCTAACCTTTCCTTTCACCCCTGAATTCTTAGGCGGTTGAGGAGTATTTTCTCTTGAGGGAAGAAGCAAAGTCCTGGGGCAAATGAGATCTCCAAGGGAAAGGAAAAGAAAGAGGCCTGGACATTCAGACATTCACTCAGGCAGTGTTTACTAGATGCCTACTGTGTCCAGGAGTTACATTTGGCCTTGACAATACAGTGGAGAACGAGACTGGCATCATCTTTGCCCTTATACATCTTAAGAGTCGAGTAGGAGAGACAGACACATACAGCTGGTTGTGCAACTAATTATGTAAATTTAAAATGTGCCCAAGGCTCCACAGGAAATATATCGGGTCTATGAGAGTATTTAACAGGTGGTTTTAATAGTTTAAGGGGATAAATTTTAGGGCAGCCCTGGTGGCTCAGCGGTTTAGCGCCGACTTCGGCTTGGGGTGTGATCCTGGAGACCTGGGATCACGTCCCACATTGGCGCTCCCTGCATGTATGGAGCCTGCTTCTCCCTCTGCCTGTGTCTCTGCCTCTCTGTCTCTCTGTCTCTCTCTGTCTGTCATGAATAAATAAATAAAATCTTTTAAAAGGGGGAAGGTTTAAATTTTAGGGGCAAGGAGAAAGAAAGAGCTAGTGAAAAAACACAAAGGGATAGCAGCCAAGAGGTGTAGGTGGAGAAATAGATTTGTTGTGTGTTGAAACCAAAGAGGAAGGGATTTCAAGGGAAGCTTGTGGTCCTCAAAGTCAAATTCTGCAGAGATGAAAAGGAAGACGGGAGGTGAGCCTAGTCTACTGCATAAAGCAATTTAAACTGTTCTGGAAGAGTTTTTGGGATTAGGAGCGCAAGCTAGATTACAAGTGGTTAACAAATGAGAGGGTGGTGAAATCTTAAGTACTGTAATGAGCTGTTACACTCACTTTTTGGACACTTAACATGAAGTACCTTGTAATGATGTGGCCTTGTTTGCCTTGTTGCCCCAGCCAGGCTGACCGCTCCGGGAAGGTTATGACAACAAACCCCTCCCCTAGCACTGAGTCCACAATTTAGAGTCCCCCACCTGGAAGCCCGAGACCTTGGGTCCAGTCCTGGTTCTCCTGCAACGCAGCCACACACCTCAGGCAGAGGCCTCTGTTTCCTCATCTGTAAAATGGTGCTTTTCCTAACTTCCCTGTCACATGACTTGTTGAAAGGATCCAATGGGACAGTCTGTACAAATGGACTCTGTGAACTGAACATGAGTTTTTCTGTGGAAGATACCAAGAGCATTCGGTAAATGAGACCGGCTACCGAGGAAGTTCTGTGATGACCAGTTTTCTGTTTGCTCATTTGTTTAGATTTGTTCCTTATATTGGAATTGTGACGATCCTCATGAATGACTATCCGAAATTTAAGGTAAGAGCCTCTACGATACATTTCCTTAAACATGTCTTCTTTGGCTTACGTCTGGAAACTATTAAATGGATTACAGACTAATGGGATGGTTTAGTGATTTGTCATGGTCACAAAGGCCAGCTCATGACCGAACTCTGAAGACGTGGAGACTTCTAAAAGCTTCCCTGACTTGTGTTCTGTGTTTATCTTCTAGTATGCCGTCCTCTTCTTGCTGGGTTTATTCGTGCTGGTCCATCGTGAGTAAGAAGTCTACCTTGCCGTTCCTGGAAGATGCCGTACTTTTCGTTCCTGACTGTTTGGAGTAGATATTGGTCTATGATTGGTGGAGTGCAGAACGTACATGTTGGCGCTTCTTGGTAGCAATGGTTTGCATTAGTTTCTCTTTCCACGCCAGGGTCTGTGTGGGCGGGTGCACCAAGGCGCGCACCCGAGGGGACTCTCAATCACAGGATTTCATATGTTGTCATTGTCACACTTTCACATTTTTGTACATCAGTGAATTTTTTATATTAAAAGGTTGAGCCAAAGCCCCCAGTGTTTGTATTTTGAAGCCAAGCTTCACTTCTAAAGTGCCTACAGAGTTCTGTAAATGAAAATGCAGCTCTGCACGAGTTTGAAACCGTCATTCCTCTTTATAAAATGGGAATGGCATATGCTGAGGTGGTCGTAAGTCTTAACTTTTCAAATTTTAAATAAAAGACTTTGCACATTGAACCCCTTATCCCTGACTTGTGTTTGTCGGGAAAGCTTTGCCTTCCTCCGCTGGCTCTTAGCACCCTTTGGGGAGATAAAGGCTTTAATGTGAGCCATCCTTCAGCTAAGAAGGTTGTCCTAACACTAACAAGTGGTGTTTGTTTATTTGTTTTTGTAGAGCAAAAGTAGCCATTGGCATTCATAGGAAATCTCTTAGCTATAAAATTGATTCTTCATTAGGGTGTGACTCAGATGTGTAGAAACGAGTTAATGTTGCTGAAAGGTTCAGAAAATCTGGCTGTGCTGTAAAGGCTCCATTCTTTTCTGCACCTGAGACACTCTCAGCCCTTTCTACACTGCAGTGTGTTTCAGCATCTGGAGGAAGCAGGAGGAAGGTGCTGGAGGGCTAGGGTGCTACTTGTTTTTTAAAAACCCTTATTTGCCTGAGGCTGTTCTCTTAAGTGCCTGACTTCACTTTTCTCTCATACAGACTTAAAGAAGGCTTAAAGTAGTGAATGCAGAGCCCAGTTGTGTCTCTCTTCCTCTAATTTGAGGCAGTTAGGAAAATGGCCAGTGTAGGGTAAGCCACTGTGTTTTAAGTACAGAATATTCTTAATTCTTTTGTTCTCTTCTTGTATTGTGAAATCTGAAAGTAAGCAAATTTTCTGTGTTGGACTAGATGAGCAGTTTCTATTATTTGTTCAGCTGAGGTAGATCAGCTGAGGTGGAGATCAATCCATGCTTTAATGGTAATAGAATCAGCATTAAACGATGGAGACAATTTACAATTAAGAACAGTTAATCTTCTGAAGCGCTCCCTTATAGAGAATAGTGCCATCCAAAATTCATTAACTAGGCTTTAGCCTTTAAATTTTGGATCGGGCTCTTAATGATCTCAACTGAGTATGAAACTTGGCACATCAGTGCTAACAAGTGCTTCTTTGAACCTGCCCGGGAGGCTTGTATTATACTTATGTTTCCTCATGAGCCATGGAGAGCATGGAAGCAGTCCCCCATTCGTAAAATGGCAGAAAATTGCTACCCTCTCCATGTTTTCCCTCCTTATCACCTGCAGAGGATGGGGTTAACTGCTTGGCCTAACTGTCCTGGCTCTGTTTTGGTAGCAACCTTTCTAGGACTACTCTGGAGAAGTAGTGTGCTTTGCTGCTCAAGGCTGGGATCCTGGGCTTCTTTGTCATCCTCACTTGCCTGAGTTATACTTGTATCCTCAGCCATCCAGATTTCTCCTCTGTATATACTGACACAGTTAAACCATTAAGTATTTTCCTCATTTGCATATTTTCACACCCCGTTTTGTTTTTTCTCCTTTGCTGGATGCTCTCAATTGGAAGAAACAGCTAAATTTTAGAAGTAATCAAATCTTCAAAAGTATTCAAATTATTCTACTAGTCAAATAAAGATTATTTTGGGAGAAAGGTTTTATGTTGTTAGTTTTTCTATTGTCTGGTTTAGTGCTAAAACCAGACTTAAAGCTGGGCAGTTTTTTACCAGTAAATGTGTTTTATTTTATTTTTTTAGTAAATGTGTTTTAAAAGCTCATAGAGAATGCAAGGCATCCCAGAGATGTTCAGTTTAGTGTTTTAATGAAATTGTAAGCTCTTTGAAATTTGGCTGGGCTACTGGGAAGTTGGGATGGCTTGCCCATTGTGAGTGCTGGGGATTGAAGAGTATGAGGATTGATAAAACTTCAAGTAAGAACTTGATCATGGGATTGTCTCTTGACTGTGACTCCACCATTATCACTCCCAACCAGGAAGTCTCTACAGGTTATTGGCAAATGCCCATCCTCACTCCCAGTTCCTGTCTCTCTGTTCCCTCCGGACATTTCCACTTGATTGTCCCCTCTTTAAATTTAAGCTCAGAGCAATTCCTGCAAACTAACCCTCCAGATTTCACCGTTTCTTTGAAGGAGTATTCACCTAGATTCTTTCATATTCCCACCATATGTAGTCAGTCACAAACTCGACATGTACCCCTGTCATTCCATCTCATTGTCATTGTCTGACTCCAGAAACAGTCAGTGGTTCCCTTTGCTTGGGTACTTCTATGTCTCAGCTTCCCTGCAGCTTGCCAGTCTGTGTCTGAGATCATTTCCACTCATTAATCAATTGTAGTACCCCGTTTACTTTAAGAAGCATCTTTTGGGCCATCTTGTATTACCTACATGGGAAGTTTGGACTTTGAATTCAACCAACATTAAGCACCCTGTGGTATACTGCTGTGGTATACCCTGTATCTTCATTTTATATCCCACTTGTCTGGGTCTCATTTTTTGCACAGAGTAACTGTCCATCTTTCAGCGTTTGGAACCTATGCTATTTGTGTAAGTTTGTGGATATGGCCTCAAGTTCCCCCATCAAATGGCAAGCTTCTCCTAGGCAGGGGCCCTGTTTTATAGGCAGTGTACTCTGTTGTCCCAGTAGCATCTAACAGCATGTACTAAATGTTCTGTATGATGATGCTTGGAACCAGAAGCAGTTACTTAGGGTATCATTATTCTTTTTTAAAAGATTTTATTTATTTGAAAGAGAGAGAGGGAGGGAGGGAGGGAGAATGAATTGGGGGGAGGGGCAGAGAGAGAAGGAGAAGCAAACTCCATACTGACCAGGTAGCCCAACACAGGGCTCAATCCCAGGACCCTCAGATCATGACCTGAGCTGAAGTCAAGACACTTAACCAACTGAGCCACCCAGGCGCCCCAGTAACTTCAGTAGAATTATTGTTAAGCTGTTATTCTGAGGCAGAGCATATGAATCATTAAACTCATTTGCCCTTTCCTGGTATTTACTAAGTACATTATCTTGGTCTTGCCAAATTTGAATCTGAAAACTTTTTCTCCCGTGATTTCATTTTAATAGCATGTTCCATTTTTAGAATTTTTTATGTTAATCCTGTTTTCTGGGGTGCCTGGGTGGCTCAGTTGATTAAGCATCTGCCTTTGACTCAAGTCATGATCTCAGGGTCCTGGGATCAAGCCCTGCGTCAGGCTCCATGCTCAACCAGGAGTCTGCTTCTCCCTCTCCCTCTACCCCTCCCTCCCCTCAGGTTTTCTCTCACTCTATCAAATAAATAAATAAAATCTTTTTTTAAAAAACCTGTTTCTGCCTTTTTATGTGTGTCCTCAGGCTTTTCCTGGATTCTCTTAATGGGAAAAGTATTGGTGTTTGTCTCTTTTCTTAGAGTGCCCCAGGCTTCTCAGAGAACCTAGGCTTAAAATAAAGGTACCTGGGTAGCTCAGTCGGGTAAGCATCTGACTCTTGATTTTGGCTCAGGTTGTGATCTCAGGGTCATGAGATAGAGCCCCACATTGGACTCTGCACTCAATAAGGAGTCTGCTGGAGATTCTTTCTCTCTCTCTCTCTCTCTCTCTCTCTCTCTCTCTCTCTCTCTCTCTCATAAATAAATCTTTAAAAGAAGAAAAAGGAATAAAGGCTCTGTGATCCTTAAATGCATTGCTTGGTCATTTGCTTTAGTGTGTTACCAAGTCCATACAGCACCTAAGAACAATGTGTGGGATTATCTCAGCATCTGAGGACACCTTTCTTATAACATTTATCATTTTATTGAGCTTCTAGAATGATCCAGCTGATTGTAGCTGACTCAGTAGATTGTCTACCTTCCTCAAGATGCTCCATCAGTTGGGACAGCCTATTCAGACTGTTTCCTGGCAAGGTATATTTTTGTTACAATTCTCCCTTACTAGAACTAAGTAATATCAGATAGACTTTTAGAAATAAACAACAAATATGACCCTTTGCACGCAAGTATTGGTGAGCCTGGGTGTAGAAGGAATTCTGTGTAACCAAGAAATATTAAAGACTAGAATATGTAGGAGTTAGGGGAAAAAAAAAAAAAGGACAATGCCTTCTAGATGTCGTGTAGCATTCTGGGTCCTTAGAATTTTTTCCAGCCTCAGCTCTCAGCAGAATCCATATTCTTGTACCCTTGACATTGGTCACACTGTACAGACACCTAATCTTCACTTATGCTGGTCACTTTGTCCAGAGTGCCCGCTCACTCCTATACCTGCTGAAAACTTATTCAGCAGACGCTTTTACTGAGCATCTACTCTGTGCCAGATTTTGGGCTAGCCCCTGGGGATACAAAGATACAAGGAACTGCTAGGAACTCAGTGCCTTAACCAGGGCAACATGTAAGTAGTTTTCTTCCGCATAGAACCATAAGTGGAGTGATAGATACACAGAGAGCTAGAAAAAGGACTGTTTCTTAATTCTCAGCTAAACTCTTGAGTGTATAGGGCTTCCCACACAGTGTTGTCTGGACTTTGTGTCCTCTTTAACAGTGCCCTCAGAGTGATCTGTCTTATGTGTGTCCCATACCCTGACCAGCTCCTTGAAGGCGGTAAGACAAAGCCAACCTCTGGTTCATCCTTGTGTATCTTCTAGTCCTTTTACAGGGCTTTGCCCATTTTAGATTTATTTATTAATAAATTGTTCCAAAAGGATTTGTTCCAAAAAGGATTTGGAGCAGCTCACAAAGATAACATCTAGTACTATATGATAATATACAAAATAATTGAAGAATCTAGGGTTGAAGTCAGTGTGGGAAGAAAAAAGGATGAAATCAGAGACGAGGTTAGTGCCCACAAGACACATCAAACAATTCTGCTGTCTGCTGGAGGAGATCCATGGTGTTAATTCTCACCTCCTTAGGCGCTAATGTAAAGAGGGAAACCGTGATTTCTGTGCCATATGGAATGGGCATAAAATGGAATTAACAACAAAAAACCTTATAATGATACCCAAGGACCAAGAAATTTCTCTCCTGGGACCTCACTGCAAGGGCACTGTATGATGTCATGCAATAATCTCTATATTAAGTAGCCTAATGGTCTTCATAGAACTGTTTCAGGGAATGTTCCTTTAGTGTAAGTATGGTTCATCAGCTTCTGCAGAGAGCCACCTCACAAAACACCAGTTACTCATCTAATCAAGAACCTCCAAGCACCTTTCGTGTAGAACAGTTTCCTTGATCTTTCAAAATTCATTACTTCTTTTTAAGAAACCTAATCTCATACCTCTTCTCCATTCTCACAAACTCTCTCTCAGGTCTATTTTATCCAACCTCCATCTTCACCAGCTAAGAATGTTTTATCTTGCTGTTTCTCAAGTTTGTACTATAAAAACAAGTTATTTCTTTCTCATATACAATTATATTATTATATTGAATGTGACTTTCAAACTATAAATCCCTATTCCACCAATCTTGGGAGTTTCTGGACTGGTACCCACTCTTGGTTAAGAATCATTTCTCTGGAACCCTTACTTTAATTGGCCAGTTTATTTAGATTGGTAAGATGTATTCCAGCTTTACATTAAGGAGTCTAGTTAATAGAATTTATACTCAGGATTTATGTCAGGCAACTAAGAAAATCTCTAGCATGAGGCTTGATCAAAGGGGTCAGCCTGACAACCTAAGTGGAAAAAGACTGCTATAGAACTTGTTTCTGGGAATTGGTCAAAAGTTGAGGTAGATATGCTGGCCTTTTAGTTTATCAAACAACTCACAGTGTAATAGGCATTTTGTTTACTGTTGAGTCAACACCCCAGCTTTAGTGACTGTCCAGGGAATCTTTTCTTTCCCCTGTAGTGGGCTTCAGATTTAAAGCAGGCTTCTGCTTTTCCCAGGACCCAGGTAATAATTTTGAGTACTTAGAATTTGTCATGTGATCTGCTAATTGCTTTTGAAATTATGACATATTTTTATTTTCTCTTTAGTCTTCAAAATAAACTCTATTTTCGGGATCCCTGGGTGGCGCAGAGGTTTGGCGCCTGCCTTTGGCCCAGGGCACGATCCTGGAGACCTGGGATCGAATCCCACATCGGGCTCCTGGTGCATGGAGCCTGCTTCTCCCTCTGCCTGTGTCTCTGCCTCTCTCTCTCTCTCTCTCTCTCTCTGTGTGTGTGACTATCATAAATAAATAAGTTGAAAAAAATTAAAAATATAAAATAAAATAAAATAAAATAAACTCTATTTTCAAAAGAGAAACCAGAAGTTAAGAAATTTGTCCAGGGTCTCCTGGCCTGTGAATGGATGGCACAACCACACCTCGAAGTCTGTTGCTCTTCTCATGTCACAATGTTGGGTGTCAAAACCCAGTCCTTGTATCTTTATGATATCTAATGAGACTCTTTCATTTGACATAAATCCCACAACTGCAGGGTCCTTGGGAATTTTTTAGAGACTCTAGATATTTCTGTGGACTTGCTCAGATTAGCAAATCTGTTAGAAATAGTGAAATTCTCAGGCAGATTTCCAAGCATTTAAGCCTCTTTAGAGTTTAAAGAGTATTAATTTCAGTTACTGAATGTCCCCTGAAATACATGACTATCCCACCCAAATAATTGTGAATGCTGGGTCCGGGGCTCATCACTCTCTAAGGTTTTTATAAGTTCCCTGAACATCTGTGCCATTTAGCTGAGGAGCAGCTGCTTAGCTTCCTTACCCACTAGTGGGATTGTCATCACTTTCTTGATAGATGTAGGGATTTTCTCTCTCTCTCTCTCTCTTTTTTTTTTTTCCCAAATATTGCCTTAAAAAATATTTTGTGTTTTGGCAATTTCAGTTTCTGGTACATTTCTTTATTAATGGTGAATGTTCTGGTTTTCTAGCTAACTCTTATGTGTTCCCTCTGACTTTGGGAAATTGCATCCTATATCCCCAACTCTCCTCTTGAAGATTGAGCTATTTCTCTGATTGTCCAGTCCTTTCCCAAACTAAAGAGCAGGAGTGAGATATCTCAGGACGTTTCTCTTCATCTCATCCTCCCAGCCCACACAGATGGAGATCTGGGCTCAAAGGTTTGCCAGGAGAGTAATTTTACACCATTCGTTTTTGAGCAGCTCTGCATTTGTTATTCCTTTTCACCAGACGTATGTCTAATTTAAATTTCTGCTTTTGAATTCCTCTGTTGTCCTCTGCACTTTTCATGTGTGTGAAGTCCACTCTGGTTTTCTCCATTTGTGTGGTTTCTCTGCAACTAACTTGCTTTGTACTTGAGTTAACTCACCTATAAAATGGGCATACTACTAGTCTTTACTACATCAAAATAGTGTTGATGATCAAAGGAGCATGCCCTAAGTACTTTTGGAAAAAACAACAAAGATTCAGTTGTGAAAAGATGTTACTTATAATTGATTTCAATTTAATGAAAATAGAGCGAACAGTAACATGTGTCCTTTATTTCAAGCAATATGTGATTAAAAACCATGGTGCAGCTTAAATGTTTTGTTGCTGTTGGTTATAACAGGATTTGCCATGTATCTTTTGGGGGGGGGCATGTATCTTTCACCTCTTAATCATCTTTAGTATTGACTTGTGAATCTTATGTAGATTTCCTGTGGATATCCTTGAGACACCTGAGAAGGGCCCAGTGTAAGCACTGGAGAACTTCCCTGGGGGCCTCCACATGATTCACTGCCAGTCTTCCCAGTGGGATGGAGGCCCTTAGAATTCCCTCGCCATCACAGTACACTTGGGAAACAGGCAGTGGGCAGCTGAGCTCCTCGCTCTAAACTCAGAGCCTGGCACACTCTCTGGGACGTCCAGCTTGGACATCCAGCTGCTACCCTGCTTCTTCAAGGTCTTCAGAGGCCCCTCACTTGTGCTAGCCTAACAGATAAAATCCCACTGGGGGCTCCTGAGGTCAGTTCTGGAACTGTGGTTGGAGCTGTGAATCCAGCCTGTGACAGAGGAGACTTGGCTGGAGTATAAATGAACTGGTCAGAGCAGAACCCAGAGACCCAGGGTACCCTGCAGAAGTGAGGACAAATTCTAAATTCACTGCCTTCTCCCTTTCTCCCCTGAGAAATCTAAACCAACTTGATGTTAACACTTGAGATGGTTGGTAAATTGGGAGTGGGTATGTTTTAGGGAAATAGCATCTGATTTTGGGGGCCTGACAGAGTAGTCCAAACAGACCCGAAGTCTGATTCTAGTGTCAGTCTGAGCAAGTGACTCAACCTCTGAGCCTGTTCCCAGTTATAAAATGAGGGTTAAACCTACCAAATAACATTTCTTCAAGCATTTAAGTGAAGCAACACTCAATATCAGCTCCTGTGTGTTGCCATTAATTTCTACATCTGTGAGCCAGAGGACAGGGAGACAGGGAGGGGGTCACAAAGGGAACGATTATTATGGGAAGGTGATAAGAGCTATATTTGTACACCATGGCTGAGCAGTGAGAATGCAGAGGTGTAAATGCCGCGGTGGGGGATGAGAAGCTAGGAGACTGGGGAAAAGCCAGGGCCAGAAATGGAGTGTCCCTCTCCTGTGTGTCATGCTCCTAGGAACTCAACATGATAACCAGCCTCTCCTAATTCACTTTCCCTTTTAGAGTGGTGATCCACAGTTAGCAGGCCTTGCTGAGCTAGATACATGAAAGGGTAATAATACCAAGTACCATTATTGAGCCAGACTGGGAAGTAGGTTCAGTCACAGCTACACCATGCAGTGTTGCAAGGAAGAGCCCAAAATCCCAGGGTTGGTCTGCACCCCACTCCTTCATCATTCATTCCTTTGGCACTGTTTCCCCAGCGAGATGGTAAACTCCCTTGAATTATCTTGTTTCCTCTCCTGTGCCTACCATGGTGCTCCTGAAGGTTGGTGTTTAGTGAACATTTAAGCCAAACATTTAGGCAAAAATAAATGTATTATTCTGGAGCACAGCGTTTTACTCATTAAGTGATGGCAGTGACCCAATAGTTCTTTCCAAAACAAGTCTGGACTTGGGAGGAGGAGAATGCTGGGTGTGAGAGGGCAGTCCTATAGGACTGCTCCTTCCTGCCACAAAATAATTGTGCTAAATGTAAAATTATTACAAATAGGGTAACAGTTATTACTATTTTACAGTTGAAACTGAGGTTGAGGGGAATCGCACAATTTGTATATGAACTCCTGGTCTGGTCCCCAGAAAGCTGCCTCCTGCCCAAGTGGTATACAGCGTTCATTCCTGGGGTTGGGGGTACTCACTATCTCACCATCCATCATTCTGGATGGAGCACCTGCTGTGGTTTCTACACCACCTGGGGAGTGCTGGCGGTGAAAGGGCAGAGAGCAGAGGGAACATGGGTCACATTCCCTAAGAGGGAGGGGCTGGCAGGCATTTTTATGGCTCTCCTGGTGCTTGGCACTTTGCGGGGCACTGTAGCGCGAGGGTCCTCACCCCTACTCTTATAGAGGTTCCAAAGCGAAGTAACCACTCGTGGGCCGAAAGCCAGTGGGAGCAGCGAGGCGGCCACCGAGGGAACGGGCTTTGCCCGGGGTCAGGGTCCTCCGCCGGAGGGTAGTGGGCGTGAGCGCCAACGCCCAGCAGTGGAAGCAGTGCCAGAGCGGGCGTGAGAGCGCAAGCGCGCGGCGCGGGGGGGGGGGGGTCCTGCGGGGCGGGGCGTTCTGGGGGCAGGGCTGGGGCTGCTGCGAGCGCGGGGGGGCGGGCTCCTCCGGACAGGCTCCGCCCCACCCCCGGGGCGCGGGTTTAAAAGGAGGAAAGGAGGGCGCCGCGGCTTCGGCGGCTGCGAAGTGCACAGGGGCGGAGGAGCGTCAAGGCTGCAGCCATGACCCTGCGGGCGGGGGGCGCTCGGCTGCTCAGCGGGCTGCTGCTCTTCGCTCTGCTCGCTGCAGCTGCCGGGGCCGCGCCGCTCAGCTGGGGTCCCCCAGAGCATCGCAGCCGGGCCATCAAGATCCGAGTGCACCCGCGGGGCAACCTCTGGGCCACCGGTAAGTCTTCGGGACCCGGGCAAGCGCCCCTCACCCTGCTCTGATTCCATTTTCTTTCTCAGGCCGTTTCTCGGCCGCGGACACTCGTGTCTGCGCTGGTGAGGACCCTGGAACTTGTCTAATAGATGGAAAACTTGACACCCAGACACATCACTCAGCCAGTTAAAGCAGAGCTGGGTCTGGATCCTAGATCTGCCTGCCAGCCAGTGCCCCTTGCCTTAGGCAAGTCTACTGAGTCTTCCAACCTCTGGTGTGTCTTCTTTTTGCACCTCGCCTTCCAGACAATTCTTCACTCTCCACTTTCCTCCTTGCCCTTGCCTTTTCCCTCTTGTAAGCAGGCAGCACAATTGGCAGAGCTTCCCACTGGCCCTTTGCCATCTAACCTCCTTCCAGCTGTACCATCCTCTCCATCATCTCTTCCTGTTCAGGAGAAGCGGCGGTACAGGCTTTGCCACCACCCAGGGGTGTTTGTGTCTCCTTGAGGAGGAGGAGGAAGATTGATCGGGGATCTTCCCAGCATGAGAACTGAAAGTTGGGAGAGGTGGGGAGCTTTCCCACTGGGATAGAATCCTTGCTCCCCAACTTCTTTGTGCGTTGGCACCACCTTTCTAGGTCACTTCATGGGCAAGAAGAGTCTGGAAACCCCCAGCCCATTCCTCTTGGGGACAGCTTCCCACGTGTCCCTGAGGGACCAGAGACTGCAGCTGAGTCATGATCTGCCCAGGATCCTCCGTCTAAAGAAAGTTCTGGGCATGAGCCTCAGCCGGCCAGCACCTCAGCCCCAGGTGAGCCAAGCTCCGACCTCAGACTCAGGAGAGGCCCAGCCAGGGCTGCTCCTGGTTCCAGCATTGGGCATAACGTGTCACAGCCCCCCAGGGTGTGATGGGCCTCAGAAAGCCAGGGATTCCAGGCTCTCTGTGTGATCCAGAGTCAAAGGGAAAAGACTTCAAAGAAAAGAAGCTGACCTTCCCAGCAAACCTCACAGAGCAAGAAGTAGGGAGGAAGTTCCCCCTCACCCAGACCCCAGTCTAAAGTCACAGCCTAGGATTAATTAGCCAGCCTCTTGCAACAGGACCTTCTCCACACCCTCCCCGACTTGCCCGACCCCAGCTTCCACCTTTGCTGTACCTTGTTTGTACTTGTGGCTACAGCTGGGATCCTGAGGCCCAGAAAGGAGAAGAGTCAGCATCAGAGACAGAGTCAGACCTTGTTCACCTTGACCAGCACTCTTCTCAGTCACTCATCTGCCTCAGTGACCCTCACTGCAGGGTTTCTCAACCTCAGGACTCTTGACATTCAGGGCTGGAGAATTCTTTCTTGTGGGGGCTGCCCTGTGCATTGGTGGAAGTTTTATTTTTTATTTTTAAAGACTTTATTCATGAAAAAGAGAGAGAGAGAGGCAGAGACACAGGCAGAGGGAGAAGCAGGCTCCTGGCAGGGAGCCTGATGCAGGACTCTATCCCTGGACCCCAGGATCATGCCCTGAGCCAAAGATAGACACTGAACCACTGAGCCGCCCAGGTGCCCTGGAGGTATAGTGTTATCCCTTGTCTCTACCCACTAGAGCATCCTCCCCACCACCACCCCATTTGTGACAATCACAAAAAACCCCAAAAGAACACCAAAAAAAAAGGCCTCCAGACTTTGCCAGAGCTCTTTTCGTGAGAGGGAAGGGGAGGGAGCCCAAATTACCCCTGGTTGAAACCACTGACCTATGACATTCAAGACCTGAAAGCTAGAGCTAAGCCAGCTTTAGTGTCTAGCCTGGTGGAAGGGCAGTTCCTCCATGCCCTGCTCCTGATGCTGTCCCCATCCCACACCACCTTCCCTCGTACTTTGTTACTGTGCCCAGAAGGCAGGGTAGTGTGGTAGAATGTGGGTTCTGGTGACAGCATGCTAGGCTCATAACCTAGCTGTTTAGTAGTTGTGCGACTTTAAAGGCCTATCTTCCTCATGTATAAAATGGGGATGATAGCACCCATCTTGTATTAAATGAGACCATTTGTGTCATGTCTTCAGCATAATGCCTGGCACGTAGAAACCACTTAGTAAATAGGAGCTGTTGCCGGTCTGGGAGCTCTCTGGGAGCACCTGTCACAGACTCACCTTCATATCCCCCACTGTGCCCAGCATATAGTGCATGTATTTTCAAAGAAGGGAGGGGCATTTCCTAGAGACGGTCCAACGCCAGCCCCAGTCAACCTCCCGGGCCCTCCCTGTGCACAAAACCACCAGCACCTGGGGACCTCAGATATAGGGACCAGGAGCTTCAGCTAGCTGAGTCTGAAGGGAGGTGGGGTTACCCTGGAGCTGTTGGTCATGCAGACCAACTAGTGAACCTCAGAGGAAGCAGTATGTACCTAGCCCTGGGGGGTGGGGCTTCACAAGTGAGATCTGGGGCAGAGCTGGGGGTGAAGGAGTGAAAACGCTGACACTGGGCTAGATCCAGGCACATATGTGGACTTTACTTCCACGATTTCATTGACTGTCATGACCACTCTGAAGTTGGGGCTGTCACTCTGAGAAAATCGGTGCCCTGACCCTTCCCAGGCTCTTCTTCAGAGAGAAAAGTGCTGGGGTAGCCTGCCTAAGCTAAGAGCCTGCCCCTGCCTACCTCCGTGGATGCCTAGCATTCAGGAACAACGGGACACCCCTATCATTTGCCCCCTCTGCCCAGGTCATTTCTTCCATCTGTTCCCCTTCAGGACAGGAGGCTGCTGGTGCAAATGCTGCAGAAGGGAGGCTGGTAATGAGGAAGAGATGCCCACGTGACTTAGACTGTGCCCATCCAGGGAAGGTGCTGAATGGGACCCTGGCGGTGGCCCCATCTGGAAGTAAAACCTGAGCTCAAATGTCTGTTACTATGTTACTCTGATTTCGGTTGTGTCGCCAGGAATATTGCCGATGCAGACACAAATTATGTCCCTGCTGTATTTCTTGCTTCCCTGTTGAAGTTGTGAATAAAACCCTTGCTCTTATGTAGAATGTCTGGTCCTCTCCTTCCTGCCACGTTTGAGAGCATGGGAGGGAAGGGGCACTGAAGGACAGGATGTCCAGTGAGATGGGGCTGGCTCCAGAAAGCCAAGACAACTTCATGACACCAGCCTACCCAGGACTCCTGTTCAGTCGCTCATTCAGCAGGCAGGTACTCAGCACCTGTGCTATGCACCAGGTCCTGTGCCAGGCGCTGCGCTCTTACTCTCACCTCTGCCACGTAATGCGTACTGGCCTGTATGAGGAAGCTGCCTCCACTACATGATGGGGTTTTGCTCACCCCATTCCGTTTCATCCCCACGCCACGCTTTGAGGGGAGTTCCCCAAGCCTACAAGGGAGTGAGCCGAGCTAAGTAAGATTCAGACCTCACTGCTTTCTCTCTTCTCTGGCCCTGGGTAGATTTGCCACATTTAGCAAATAAAAATACAGGACACAGTTAAATTCTCATTTCATAGAACAAATTTTTCATGTGAGATATCCTAAGTATTGCATGGACATATTTGTACGAAAAAATCCATTAGTTTATCTAGAATTCGAATTTAACCCAGCACCAATGGCCTTGACCCCACTGATCTGCAAATATTTGGTCGCGAAACGGGCGCGTATTCGGTTCCTGATGAGGCCCCGCCCAGAACTGAAAGACAGGGAACCCCTGGTTTTACGTCACTGCCCCGCCGGGAGGTTTTGCCAGGAGAATCCCAGACCCGCCCGGCGGGGGCACTGCGCGCTGATGGTGGCTCACAGGCTAGCGCGCCCCCAGCCAGAGTCGGCCGCTCCCACTCCTCGCGAGAGGACCGTGCCTAGCGTCTCGGCGGCGGAAGTGAGGTACCGGAAGCGGCGTTGCCATGGAGGCCGCGGAGGACTGGCTGGTGGAATCCTTGCGCTTGTAAATCCTATGGACCTGCGGCTTGGGCCTGGGGCTGGCCGCGCGGGCAGATGGGCGCGGGGTGGAGCGCTCACGGGGTCCCCGTGTGGGCTGGGCCAGCTTGGCCGTGGGGCGGGGCCGACACCGGGGACTCCGCCCGGAGGTGGGCTCGGGCATCTGGGAAGCGGCACCGCCCCGTGCGCGGTGCTAGTAAGAGCGGCGCTCCTCAAGGATAATAATCACCCTAGTGACCCTTTTTCGCCAGCTTGAGTGAAACCCTGAGCAGATCGTTCCAGTGGTTCCTCACATCAACCTTGGGAAGTCCGGGTCCTCTAGGAGTTCCATTTTACCGATGAGGACCGAGGTCCCGGGATACAGGGACCAGCGTGGTCCCAGTCACACAGGGGCTAACAGGTGCAACAAGACCGGCTCCCCGGTCTGCCTTGCTCCGGAGCCTGGGCCCCCACCCACCGAACCATGCTGCCATTCCAGAGTTTTAACAGCTCTGGAGTGCTGTGCACCGTGTGACATTGTGTCTTTATCATGCAGGTACCAAGATTTCCATGCATTCGACCTTTCGGGAGCCACTCGGGTCCTTGAGTGGATTGGTGACAAAGGTGATCTGCCCTGCCTGGCCCTGAAGGAGATGGAATCTTACTCCTCAGGCTGGACCTCTTACTGCTAGCTCAGCCAGGAGAGACCCAGCCCACACTTCTGGGAGTCTGAGGCCTCCTCCTTGGACTTGGAGCAATCCCCCTGCCCCCCCATCAACGCTTACATTCCTCTTAGTAAGATCTAGATCCTTTCCATTCCTCCATACAAAGATGCATACCAATGGAAGAGAAATTTATCATTGCTTTGGAGGATCTGGTGAAATTTCTAGACCCAGCCATGGTCCAGGATCTTTCTAGCAGTTTGTCACAGCTACTTCTGCCTCTTTTTTCCAGGAGTCTTTGTTGCTGAGTATGAAAGCCTGAAAAAAAATGAGATTCTTCATCTGATATTACCTCTGAGACTTTCTGTAAAAGAAAACCAGGTAACTTGAAATATAGTCACTGAGTGTATATGTCTTTTACTCCTTTATTAAACCTTTAGAGAGTTCCTCTTGTCTACTACGTATTGTCCTGTATACTAGAAGGGGGGACTAGCACTGCTCCTGCCCTGCTTGTCTTACCAGGGAGGCAGAGATGCACAGAGATAAATGCTACAGAATGAGATTTACAGAGGGCTCCTAGAGAAAGAAGTCAATTTTACTTTATCAAAAAATACATTTAGGGAGTTATTAGGGTTTAGAGGGTGGCTGAAGCCCTTAGAATGGTAAAGATCACCTAGAATGACAGTGTCATGTATAAGGAATAAAAGTAAATGTCTAAAGATGAAATCTAGGGACTACATTGAAGAAATGGTTAGCGGAAGGTGAACCCACAACAAATACTAAGAAGGAATCGTCTTTGAAGTAGAAATATCAGAAAAGATCAGTGTTTCAGAAGCCAAGAGAAGAGCATATGTGAAGAAGAAAAGAGCTGGTAGCTGCGTGCTGTTGCTGTAAAATCGCCCAGACTCATCTGAGGACAGCCTGGCCTTTGTTCTGGGGGAAATTTCCCACCCAGTGCTCTTGATATCTGGCTTGCGCCAGGCTTGAGCCAAGAGCTCACTCACCCAGACTGAGCCTTGAGGAGAGACCTTAATTTACCACCTACCTCACCCCTGGCTTTTTCTCTTTTTTCTTATGGCAACCTTCTTTCCCTCTGCTTCCAGTTCCTCATGTGGCAAGAGTGGAGTCCAGTGGCTAAGAGCATATACTTTGGACAGACTGGGGTTCAGATTCACAGCATAATCCCTGTGTGACCTTAGAAATGTCGCTGAAGTTGCCTGTGCTTCCGTTTTGTTAGTTTTGAATAAGGGTAATTCAGTGTGGTAAAGTAGATATAGGGATCCCTGGGTGGCGCAGTGGTTTGGCGCCTGCCTTTGGCCCCAGGGCGCGATCCTGGAGACCCGGGATCGAATCCCACGTCAGGCTCCCGGTGCATGGAGCCTGCTTCTCCCTCTGCCTGTGTCTCTGCCTCTCTCTCTCTCTGTGACTGTCATAAATAAATAAAAAAAAAATTAAAAAAAAATAAAGTAGATATAGTACTAAACATAGTGCCTGATGCAGTGAGCACTGGATAATTGGTGGTTGTTACCTTTTTTTTTTTTTTAGAAGAACCCACCTGACTTCCAGTGGGAGGTGGGGGAGGAATGGCGATGGGTTAGTTGACTGATACATTCCAGCTACCTTGTATGAAACTGTGAAGCTTCTGTAACTCTAACAAGAGTATAACACTCCTGCTCTAATGAAAGGGCCCAGGTACAGGTTAGGAGAAGGGTTTTGGATGTGCAGGAAAGAAGGGAAGCTGTCTGTGTAGGCAGCTGAGACCAGTTTTTCCAAGTAGCAGCACCCTCAGGCATGCAGGGAGAGCAATGCAGCTGGTGGGCTTCCATGGCTTCCATCCAGGTTGAGATCTGGCATCTTACCTAAAGCTCATCTGGAATGTTCCTTTGGAAAGCAGGCTCTCTGATTAGCCCCCTCCTCTGATTAGCCCCCTCCTCTCTGCTTTGTATTTTAGGGCTTATTCCCAGAAAGAGATTTCAAGGTATGCCATGGAGGATTTTCAGACACCTCTGTCTTTGATCTGAAGCATGTGCCAGACACCAGGTATGGTCAACTCTGTGACCCAGACCTTTCATTCAGGATGGAGTGTCTGGAAATTGTCAGGGGTATCCTGCCTCTTTATCACCACCTCTACCCCTGCCCTCCTCAGCACACAGGCATACACACACACCCAGATTTGGAATATTAAAAAAACCATGGTTCAGTAGCTCGATGGTCCCTCAGACCACAGACCTTTGGACTAATGTAACCCACAGATCGTTGGAGTTGTTCCAAGGAATATAGAGTAAAAGGATACCCTGAGTGTCTCAACTGGTGGTAGGTAGTTGGGACTAACAACCCCAGTTTGCAGAGGCTGAGAGTCTCCGGGTTAGGGTTGTGTGTTCAGTGCTCCATGCTGGTGTCCTCTCTAGGATACATCATGCCATGTGGAAGCTCTGGGTCTGTCTCTCAAGTGGAGTGAGCCTGCTCCTCATCTGTTAAATGAGGGTGACTGGTCTTGAGGATCTCTTCTGCAGTAAGCTTCCCGGATATGGGGAATGTAGGGATCCCAAGCTGAGTGGGCTGGGAAGGGAAAAGACTGGAGTGTGTGTGTGTGGGGGGGGGGGGAGACCTGTATGTGGGTGAGCTCCTCACTCTCTGGACTGATATTTCCTATCTGTTGAATAGGTTGCTGGTGACCACTGGTCTTCCGGGTTCTTACCTGCATGTGTGGCAGATCACAGAGGACAGTGGTGAGTGAATTTGACTTGGTAGGGCTGGGTTGTAGGAAAGCCTGATACCCATACACCCCTGCCCCCTAATTTAAGCCAGTTAAGAAGTAGTATTAGAGCCAGGTGGGAATTAAAAGGCAGTATCTACATTAATGTGGGCAAAGATGAATTAGCAACCACAGCATTGCATACAACTCCCGAATGGAGCTTCCTGTAGCTTGCTTCAGGAATTCAGTTTACCTGCCCAGTTGTAGGCAGAGCACCCCCAGACAGGGGTAGAGGCAAGGGCAGAGCTAGGGTCACTCAGGTGAGCTCACCTCTGGGAGGAGGAAGTGGCAGCGGTGGCAAGGAGGTCACCTCTCTTTGTTAGGCATGCTAGTCTCAGGGATGAGAAACAATGAGGGAACATGTCTCCCTCTTCATGAAGTCAGTCCCTAACAGGGGATCAGAAAAGGAGCAGGAAACGTAAATCCTGTTCCTTCCTAGAAGGGAAGAAGTTCGCTCATGAGGAATAGTATTTCCCTCCTGCAGTGGGTTTGTGGGTTCCCCTGTGAGGCAGACACCGAGAGTGGGCAGCCCTGATGCAGCCCCGTCCATCCCTCCTGTTAGAACCTTGTTGGCCAGAATGGAAGTGTGCCTCCGAAGTACAGGCAGCCACTATTGGAACTGCCCTTCTGCCCCTGGGCCCCGCACCACCTCACTTGGATGCTTCCCAGAAACTGGCTGGCAGCTGGTGGCTTCTCCTCCAGCTTCACTGGCACAGAAAGGCAGTTCTTGTGCTCATTCGCTTTTCGAGATCACTGATTTAAAGGGCTTTCCTTTGTTTTTTCTTTGTCAGCTAATACTCTACAGTCTAGTTTGCCTCATTTACTTGGTCATTACAATTGTTTGTTTTTTTATAATGTTACTGAACTTCACACATTTTAAATGTACAATCCAGTGACTTCTAGTACATTTAACAAGTTGTGTGACGAGCACTGTAAGTCAAGTTTTAGAACATTGTCATAACCCCAATAAGACCTGTTGTGCAATTTATTGTTAATCACCACGCCCACACCTTGCCCTAGCCAACCACTACTATCTGTCTCTGTAATAGATTTACCTTTTCCAAACATTTCATATCAATGGAATCCTACAATATGTGGTCTCTTGTATGTGGGTTCTTTCGCTTAGCACAATGCTTTGAGGTCTGCTACATCGTACCATGATACGGCATCTAGTACCCCAGGCATCTAGTACCCCAGGCGCATGGTTAGGACAAAAGGCAGTGGTAGAGTGTGCGTCAGTAGTTCCTTGTTGTGGATGAAAGGTATTCATTCCACTGCATTCGGCTGTCCCTTCACCAGTTGATGGATCTGATTTTTGGCTATTATCATTTACAAGTCTCAGTGTGAACATATGTTTTCATTTCTTTGGATAGACTTAGGAGTGAAATTCCTAGGTCATATGGTAAATTGATGTTGATTTTTTTTTTTTTTTAGGAAACTTCCAAACTGTTTTCCAGAATGGCTTAATTATTTACATTCCCACCACCAATGTATGAGGGTTTCTATTTTCCCGTGTCCTCATCAACATTTGTTAAAGCATCCTAATGAGCATGAAATTGTTTCTCATTCTGCCTTTCACTTACATCTTTTTAACGACTAAGAATATTGAGCATCTTTTCATGTGCTTTATTAGCCATTCCTGTATCTACTTTGGTGAAATGCCTCTGCAGATCTTCGTGAGAGAGTTTTGTTGTTTCCTCCCCACCTCCAGCAGGCTGAGACAGCAAGCATGCCATCAGGGGCCCTTTGATGTTTTGGTTTCACTGTACTTTTAATAGATATTTGTTCAGATTAATCAATAATCTGTATAAGGTAATAGTAATATTAAGAAACATATTACACTCCAGGCACTATACTGAGTATTTTCCATGCCTGATCTCATTAAATTCTCAGGAATCTGAGAACAGGCTGTCCCAGAGATGCTAAGTTGTTGAAAGACACAAAGACAGTAGCATGACCTAGACTTGGGTCTGGTCTGACTTCAGGGTATGCACAGAACCACATCTGGTGGTAACTATATTTAGATAATAATAATTGATCTCACTACAGGTGTAGGGGCTCCAAAAAAAATGTGGTAGGGTATTTACTGAGCAGCAGCATGATCTGTACTTCCATTTTGCTTAGAGCTGGTTTCTGGAAGCAGATCTGTCAGAGAACATTTATGGGCTCCCCAGGTGGCTTAGTTAGTAGAGTGTGTAGCTCTTGATCTTGGGGTTGTGAATTCAAGCCCCATGTTGGGTGTGGAGCCTACTTTAAAAAAAGAAAATGTTTTTGATAATTATTATTACTGTGATTTGTAACGGCAGCTAACATCATTCAGTCACAAATACTGTATACTTCTGATGTGTCAGGCAATGGGCAAGATTCTGGGGATTATAGTAGCCAGCAAAAACCATGGATGCTCCTTTTTTCTCGGTGCTTATATTTGATCACATATTTTGCCCATTTTTTGATTGACTTTTTTTGTCTTTATCCAGTTGTAAGGGTCCTCTGTACCTTCTAGATTTGTTCTATATGTGTTTTTGTTTTAATTTTACTTTATTTAAATTCAATGAATTAACATATATTATTAGTTTCAGAGATAGAGTTCAGTTCAGTGATTCATCGGTTGCATATAACACCCAGCGCTCATTACACTGTGTGCCTTTTTTTTTTTTTTTTAAGATTTTATTTATGGGACGCCTAGGTGGCTCAGGGGTTGAGCATCTGCCTTTGGCTCAGGGTGTGATCCCAGGGTCCTGAGATCGAGTCCCACATGGAGCCTGCTTTTCCCCTTGCTTGTGTCTCTGCCTCTCTCTCTCATGAATAATAAATAAAATCCTAGAAGGAAGGAAGGAAGAGAGGGGGGGGGGGAGGAGGAAGGAAGGAAGGAAGGAGGAGGAAGGAAGGAAGGAAGGAAGGAAGGAAGGAAGGAAGGAAGGAAGGAAGGAGAATTTTATTTATTCATTTGAGAGACAAGAGAGCACAAGTATGGAGAAAGGCAGAGAGAGAGGGAGAAGCAAACTCCCCGCTGAGCAGGGAGTCGGGGGCTCCATCTCAGGACCCTAGGATCATGACCCAAGCTGAAAGCAGATGCTTGATTACCTGACTGAGCCACTCAGGTGCCCCAGTAGTGTCTTTTAAAGCATAAAAAAGTCCTACATTTTGGCGAAGTCCAGTTCTTCAGTGTTTTAAGGACTGTACTTTTGGTGTCATATTTAAGAAATCTTTGTCTACCCCACAGTTTTTCCCTATGCTTTATTTTTCCCCTAAATTTTTATTGTTTTAGTGCCAGCACTTAAGCCTACGATCTCTTTAGAGTTACCTTTATGTACAGTGTGAAATAAGGGTCTAAGTTCACCTTTTTGCATGTAAGCATCCAGTTGTCTCAGCACCATTTGTCAAAAAGCCTAACCTCTCTCCAGTGATTGGCCTTGTGCCTTTGTTGAAAGATGGTTGCTTAACCATAAATATAAGGATTTATTTATGGACTCTGAATTCTGCTCCACTGATCTTTGTGTCTGTCCTTATACCAGTAACTTGTAATTGTTTTTTATCTTTGCCTAAAAATAGGCCGCGTGGCACAGCAGTCGTTTAAAAACAAGAGGGAAAGGAGTCTTGCTAACCATTTGGAGGCACCTGGAGCTGCCTTTTGTCCTGAAGGGGCCTGGGCTACCAGGTGCCATACAGAACCTATAGCCCCAGCCCCAGGGAAGCTGATGGCCCAAAGGGACCAGCTTGTTTTGACACTCCCATGGGAAGAAGAAATCAGAGTTCTCCTAGATACTAGTGCAGAATATTCCAGAGTCTGGGGAAGGTTGCAGCTGTTTTCCTAGAAATCGAAAAGCATAGTGTTATCTAAGGTGAATTTTCCAAGGTCCAGGTTTTGACCACAGCCTTGATGTCTCTAAAACCTGATTTTGTTAGCACATCCTAAATGAATTGTTTCTAGAGACAGATGTACTCACCAGACTCTCAAGACTGCTGCAGAAACCAGAATGCAGTTTCCTTAGTTCATAAATGAAAGAAGAGGTATCCCTGAACGTGGAATATTCCAGGTCCTGATTCTTTCCCTGTAGAAGACCTTACTTAATCAAAGATTAATAAACAAAACTATAGGGCAACCCCGGTGACTCAGCGGTGTAGTGCTGCCTTCCACCCAGGGTATGATCCTGGAGACTAGGGATCGAGTCCCATGTCAGCCTCCCTGCATGGAGGCTGCTTCTCCCTCTGCTTGTGTTTCTGCCTTCTCTCTCTCTCTGTGTGTCTCATGAATTTGAAAAAAAAAAAAATCTTTAACAAAACTATAACAAGAGGAATCAGCTCAAAGTTTTCCAAATTGTGGAAGTGGTGTTTGGCACAAAGTATCCAACTTGTGAAAGCATTGCTGCCTGGGCCCTCATGCCATCCAGGGCCCTGGAGTGGTGTCTCAGGCCTCTTCTCTCATCACTGGGGCCATGGAAACCTTTGAGTTGGATGAATACATATCTAATGGCTTCAGCTGAATGTCACCTGCTTTATCCACTTTGAAGTTCAGTGTTCAGTCTGGTGTGGCTCCCTCTTCCCTGGACAGGCCCCAAGTATTTTCTTTGCCTCTGTGGCTGAACAGCCCCTCTCAGGAACACCACCATCCTCTAGATGTGTTCATAAATTTGCTCACTACTGCAGGTGTGGGTGCCATTCTGACTCCTTAAGTAGTGTGCCTGCCTCTGCTCTGACCTGTTCTGTGTCAGGTGAATCCTCAGACACGACCTTCCATTCTGGCCACATTCATGGAGGTGCCTCATCGTATCTTTTGTTATCCTACTCGTTCCTCTTTTCTCTTTGCGGCTGTTTTTTTGTGGCTTCTCTGGAGGAGGGCATTTTCCACTGACCAGAGAGGGAAGGTAGAGGAAACCTGCATTTCTTTCCTATTTTAATTACAGAGTACCTTTCCAGTCTGAAATTTTCCACTGCAAATAGGTCTTTGAAGGCTTTCTCCTGGCCGCCTTCTTTCTCCCGTCAGAGGACAGATCACATCTGAGGCTCCATTACCCTGGTTCAGGGCACTAGGTCCTAGCTGTTCCAGGTTCCTCAGAGTGTGCGCAAAGGGAAGTGGCCCAGGAGATGCAGGGAAGCTCTGCCAGAGTGAGTTTGAGTCACAGCCTCATCGTCACTCCCTGGAGACAAAGCCTGGTCCTGAGGCTGAACTGTCCTGCCTGTGCCAAACCTCTAGTTCAGCAGGTCTAGATCAGGGGCACTGAAGATCCATGGGTCTTAGGAGCAGCACTCAAGGGCCGTTTGCATTCCCGCCCAGCCATGGCCCCCATGCCTTCTTTGTATGGGAACGATCTCAAGGGGATTCGCTGCCTTATGCTTGCTTGGCAGGCCATGCTAGTATTCCTTCTCGTCCATTCCTTCCTCATTCTGACTTCTGCCTACACTTTGGAATTTAAAAAATAGATGTCCGTTTTCCTCAAAGAACATGGAGACCCAGTAATGAGCCTCTCTTGGAGTGAGAAAATGTAAAATGGAAATAATGTGTCTCCTACAAAGTAGTTTGTACAGCAGACTCCTTGCTCTGAGCTATGTTCAGAGAAGCCTCCAGTGTAGATGCAGAGGCGAGGACCAAGCAGGCTAAGACACACACTGAAACAATCCACCTTGAGGCCTGCATGTCTTTCCTCCATTTGGTGCAACAACGACATGGACCCTCCTGCCCATTCACGTTTGGAGATGAATGGCATGGTGACCTTTACCTGCTAGGCATCTGCAGGTTGCTTGAACATGTTTTTGAAGAAATACTGTTTGTTCATGAACTCTGCCTGTGACTTTCACTTGAGGTGTGACATCCTCAGGGTGCTCTTTGTTTTTTTTCTATCTTCATTTGTTCTTTGTGAAACTATAAAAAAGCCAAAGTGCTTTAGGGGTTTTGAGATGGCTGCTCTGATTCATTATCTCCTGTTTGCAAAACTGTTTGTAAGACAAATGATAAAGGAATTAAACTGCTTCTGACAGTTTCAGAGACATGAATGTAATCCAGAGCATTTATGTCTCACATCCTCTCTTGCCAACTGTCAGGCACCTTTTTTCCTTGACCTTCTGAATGTATAAGGGAAGACTGCTGGCTGGCCTTCACCTTTTACTGTTTTTTTTTTTTCTTTAAAGATCTTATTTATTTATTCATAAGAGACACAGAGAATGAGAGGCAGAGACACAGGCAGAGGGAGAAGCAGGCTCCGTGCAGGGAGCCCGACATGGGACTCGATCCTGGGTCTCCATGATCACACCCTAGGCCAAAGGCGGTGCTAAACCACTGAGCCACCTGGGCTGCCCACTTGTTCTGTTTCAAACCTTCATCAGTATCCTGGGTTTTAGCCTCTTGTGCTTTCCTCCAGATGTCATTCAGGCTGCCAGCACCATTGCTGTGCAGGAGAAGGAGGACAGTCTGTGGCCTAGGGTGGCCATCTTCTCTTTGACAACACCCGGAGTCCTCCATGGGGTGAGGCTCAGCAGTCTCAGGGTCGTGGATTTAGAATCCCAGAAGACCACATACACCTCAGGTACGTTCATCCATTGTGGCTTCTTCTGCTAACTCCCATCTGCCAGTGCTCTGCCGTGTTAAGAACTGAGTTCAGCTGCATGGGCCCAGTGCTAGGGAAACTAGATGGATGCGAGGCAGGCCCTGGGGCCCCGTTCTGGGGCTAGAGGAGGCAGTCCCAGGGACCAGTACCAATCCGGCTGTCTAGAGCATGCCAAAGTGCCTGGGGCTGGAGGGAGACTTCCAGAGGAAGAAATGGGCGACTGGCCAGACTCCTGCGACTCCAGCAGCTTTTGTCTGTCACCATCTGTCTTCCAGGGGTCAGTGACAGCGAGGAGCTGAGTAGCCTGCAGGTCCTGGACACAAACACCTTTGCCTTCTGCTGTGCCTCAGGTCGGCTGGGGCTCGTCGACATCCGCCAGAAGTGGGCGCCGTCAGAGAATGTCAGCAACGGCCGTGGCGGCCCTGGCGCTGCTGGAGGGAGATGGTGTGCTGAAGTTGGGGGCAAGGTCCGGAGCCCTGGGCCCAGCATTGCCATCCTTGGCTCAAACGGGCAGCTCTGTCTTCTTGACCCCCGGGATCTCTGCCATCCTGTGAGCTCGGTCCAGTGCCTGGTGTCTGCACCTAGCCCTGACCCAGAGCTGCTGCGAGTGACATGGGCTCCAGGCCTAGACAACTGCTTGGCCATTTCAGGTACTGCTGAGCGGTATTTTGTGTCTGTTACCTGTAGGACTGTGTGGTGTTCAGGAAGGAACCTCCGCAGCCCCATAATAAATCTGGCCCCAGAAGTGACAGTTGCTCACAGAGAAGCTCCAGATCAGCTTTCCAGGTTCTTCCATGACAGGCCCTTCCCCGTTCTGGCTGCTAAACTTTCACATTAGTAGCAGGGTGTTCCTCCCTGAGCAGGAATTTGGTGCTAAGGTTGGTGAAGAGTCTACAGAGAGGGAGGCGCTAGGACGGTCAGGGGGCTGTGCCAGGAAGAGGTGAGAGGATCACCGAAGTGTTTCTCAGTCTACTTGCTTTCCGAATTATAGCAGGCTGCTGGGTCAGCAAGTCCCTGGGTCTGGCCTGGCAGTTTCTAGCTGAGTAACGGTATCTATCTAATCAGGAGGGTAGCTGAAAGTCAATGGGAAGGACCCAGGTCCAGGATTGGCCTTGGGCCTTGCACATAATAGATGAACGACAGAAATACACCATCACATGCCCTGTGAAGTCATCAACTTCTGATACTGAGGACAGAGGTTACATGGTGTTCAGCTGGCCTTTGGCTTTTTTTTTTTTTTTTTTTTGTAATCTCCATCCAATGTAGGGCTCAAATTTGTGACCCTATGATCAAGAGTCAGATGCTCTACTGACTGAACCAGCCAGGCACCCCTGGCCCTAAGCATTTTGTTATTATTTCATTTTTCATCCTATAACCTGTTTTGATACCAGAGAGCAAACTATAAAAATTATTTCCGGGGCACCTGGCTGGCTCAGTCAGAATGTGGACTCTGGCCCATGTTAGGCAATAGAGGTAACTTAAAAAATGAACAAACAATAAAAACTACTTTACAGATTCAGCAGCAATCCTCTCTTTTCTTGTGTTTCTTAGGTTTTGATGGGACGGTCCAGGTCTATGATACCACATCTTGGGATGGAATGGGGAACCAAGTAGAACCTCTCTTCACTCACAGAGGTCACATTTTCCTGGAAGGCCATCAGACAGACACGACTCCACTGGTCACTACCCACACTTGGCACCCCCACAAGCCAAGGACTTTGTTATCAGCAGCAAGCGATGCCTCTCTGCACGTGTGGGACTGGGTGGACATGCATGCGTCCAGCTGACTCCAGCGTCTTTCTGCCCAGGCCTCTAAGAAGAGGAGGAGCTGCTAAGAGAGGAGTATAGCCAATGTGCTGATTTAGGACTCCAGTGACTGTAGGTCCCTGTTACCAGCCCGGTGGCCTTAGGCAAGTTAGCCAGCTTCTCCTGCCCCCAGTTTCTTCATTTGTAAAATGATAATCGTAGTAGCTTCCTCTCAGGGATGTTGGGAAAGTTAGAAGTGATGTATTAAAAAATAGGATGCGTGACACTATAAATATTTAGTAGCTACCGCTCAATCCAAGAGTAGAATGTAGAGCGATGTTTTATCCCTGCTGTTTACAATATCATAGTGAGAATCAAAAAAAGGCAACAAATGTAAACATGTTTTGTGAGCTTTTTTACAAAACTCAAACTATCTAAGGGCTAACAAACATGAAAAAAAAGTCAACCCCAGTAGCAATGAAGGTAATAGCAATTAAAACAAGATTATGCCTTTTTTACCTACCAACTTGCCAAATTGTAAAGCATTATTGCTTTGGACACCTGATAAAGGTGACAACCCAGTTCAGGAGGCACAAAGCAATAGCACATGGTTCCTGCTCCCAGCTGTACATGGGACCAATGTGCAGTGGAACCATAATTCATATATCCAGTCTCCTGTTATGTGATGGTTAAAGTTTTCTGATCTTTGGCTGTTACAAATAGTATGAATAATGTTTGTACCCAGGAACAAAAGCCTGTAGGATAAATTTATAAAATTAAAATTGCTAAGGTAGAGGATATGTGCATTTTTAGGTCCTTATTATAAGTACTGCCAACGTGCCCTCCATGGAGACTGTGCCATTTACGATGGCAGCAGTGATGGGTCTGTCCCTCTTTCCTCACCAGCCAAGTCTCCCTACTGGCTTTTTACCTTTGCCAGTCTGATAGGTGAAAAATCATTATTTGTAGTTTTAGTCTTCTTATATGCGTGAAATTGAGACTCCAGGGGAACAGGCCCAAGGGATGCTCCTGGCCCATAGCAAATATTAAAGTATACCTGCATCCCTGTTACATACCATCTCTTACTATCACACTTGTTAAGGAATTTTCAGCAGGTTTGCTTTTGAAATTATTTGATTACTAGTCAGTTTGGGCTCTGAGTTTTTAAAAAATAGCTCTATTGAGATATAATTCACACACCATGCAGTTCACCCACCGAAAGTGTACGATTTGGTGGTTGGGGTTTATTGTTAATTTTTTAAAGATTGTGGTAAAATATATGTAAAAATTTGCTAGTCCTTTTCATTTTAAAGTATACAATTAATAGAATTAAGCACATTCACAATGTTGTACAACTGTCACCACTTCTAAAACTTTCTTGTCACCCCAAACAAGCTCATGGCCATCATGTGTCCTGGTTTTCTGTCGGTGAGCATACTTGTATTCTCAGGTCAGCTGCCCTAACAGCACCACAGACACTCACTGCTCACAGTTCTGGAGGCTGGGAGTCCAAGAGCCGGGTGCCAGCACGTTCTCCTGAGGCTCTGCCAGCTGTGGGCCCCATCTCTGTGTGCTCACCAGGCCTCCCTGTGTCCTTGCAGAAAGAGCTCTGGCCTCTGGCCTCTTATAAGGACACCAGTCCTTTCAGATTGGGGCTCCACCCTCACGACCTCACTTAACCTCATTTACCTCTTAAAGACTGTATCTCCAAATACTGTCACCTTGGGAGTTAGTTAGTTGAAACCTAAGAATCTGGGGGGGGGGGCAGTACACAATTCAATTCATAGCACTTAGTAAGTATCTTGAAGTGAGAAAAACCTAAGACATTTTCAAATGAAATGATTTTATTTAACAGTGAAGTTGAGAGAGTGTTAAATATTGGAGAAATTTAACTTAAAATATTCAGTTTCAAGATGTGATCATTTTTACCATCTTCTGAAATCATCTTTCTGTCATGCCCCACCACCACACACACACACACACACACACACACACACACACCACACCACCACCACCACCACCACCCACCACCACCACCACCTGGGAGAGCTGGTCCTGTAGACCTCGGCTCTGTTGGTGACATCACTCTGACAGTTTGAAATTGGCCATGATGGACATACTTACCCCACAGAAACTGGCAAACACTGCAGCACACCACTGGCTAAGCTATATTATTTCACCAAATAAAAGGAGAAATGAGTCATTTAGAAAATGGAATTGATGCACCAATTCAAAATCTACCTTGCTAGAAAATAGTGTAAAAATGCACATCAGTCAGGGTCCAGCCTGAAAAACTGAACCGACACCTAGTAATTCAGTTGCAGGAGTTTAGTTATGAGTCTGAAAGAGAATGCAAGGGAAGATGGGGCCCTGAGGGAGGAGCAGCAGCTGGAAGTTACAGAGAGGGATCCAGGGGTGGGGTGGGGGAGTGACTGGAGCTGAACCCTGGGCCTCCCAGGGGCAAGGGAACACAGTAATGCTGCTGGCCTGGCCTGGGGCTGGGACCTTGGGGCAGGAGCTAGGACTGCAGAGGAGAGAGCCGGAGACTGCAGGAGTCCAAGAGAAGCTCCCTGGCTCCTCTCCCGCCCTCCAGTGTCCTGCGTGTGCTGGGACCAGTGTGTGTGTGTGGGGGGGGGGCTTGCCGGCAGGGGCCCTGAGAGGCAGGTGCAGTGAGCAGGAGGCAGCACCTGCAGTACACAGCAGAGAGGCGGAACCCAAATCCACTATATCTAAGTCCCTATGAATTAAGCAAGAAAAAGAAAAAAAAAAGAGAACAAAGGTTATAAGAGAACAGTGTGTAACAATTATATATTAATTTGAAAATCTCAAGACAGTTTTCTTAAAAACAATGTAAACTATTTTTTAGTAGAAAATCTGAATTATCCAATACTCAAGAAAGTAGCACCAAAGGGACGTTGGGGGTGGGGTAATTTTGTGTGTACATTTTTTCAAACTTTTGAGGCAAATTCCCATGCCAGAGACATTTTCTTTCTTTGTTAAAAAGATTTGAGAAAGAGCAGGGGGAGAGGGAGCAGCCGACTCCCCACTGAGCACAGAGCCCTATGGCCATGACCCTGAGATCAGGACCCGAACTTAACCAACTAATCCACCCAGGTGCCCCAACTAAAGACATTTTCATTTAAAAAATCTGGGAAGGGGCACCTGGGTGGCTCAGCAGTTGAGCATCTGCCTTCAGCTCATGTCCTGATCCCAGGGTCTCTGGATGGAGTCTCACATTGGGCTCCCTGCAGGGAGCCTGCTTCTCCCTCTGCCTATGTCTCTGCCTCTCTCTGTGTGTCTCTCATGAATAAATAAAATCTTAAAAAATATATATCTGGGGAACTACCCAATTCCTATAATCATAATACCAAAATGTGGCCCAGAAACTGTGGGTGCTCCTAGACACACACAGACACACTCACTCAAGCTGTTATTAATACAAGACAGTGGCCCTCGGGATCCCTGGGTGGCACAGCGGTTTAGCACCTGCCTTTGGCCCAGGGCGTGATCCTGGAGACCCAGGATCGAATCCCACATCGGGCTCCCGGTGCATGGAGCCTGCTTCTCCCTCTGCCTATGCCTATGTCTCTGCCTCTCTCTCTCTCTCCCTGTGTGACTATCATAAATAAATAAAAAAAAATTAAAAAAAAAACAAGACAGTGGCCCTCAACACTGTGTACCCCAACATGCCTCCTGTAAACACCCCTTTAGTATCCTGAAGTAAAATTTTACAGGGAAAATTGCTTACTTACAATTTTAAAACCAGTATAAATACAAAATAATGTATTTCAATACATAAATGTTCATACTTCTGCATAGCAATATAATCAGATGCTTGGCTGGCTCAGTCGGAGCATGCACCTCTTGATCTTGGGGTCGTGAGTTCCAGCCCCATGTTGGGGGAGAGTTTACTGAAATAAACTAAAAACAAAACAAAACTCCTTGAAAAGTTCTGAACAAAAGAAAGCACTTTTTTCCTTAGTTTTATATCATACTAGAGTTTCTGGGAAACTCAGGTACATTAAAACTGTGCGAAACTGTCCTTATATAAATATTAAAAAGTTCCCTTCCATTAGTGGTTCTCAAACTTTCACATGTGTCAGAATCGCCTAGAGGACTGGTTGAAACAGATTGCTGGGGGCAGCCTGGATTGCTCAGCAGTTAGCGCCACCTTCAGCCCAGGGCCTGATCCTGGAGACCCAGGTTTGAGTCCCACGTCAGGATCCCTGCACAGAGCCTGCTTCTCCCTCTGCCTGTGTGTGTGTGTGTGTGTGTGTGTGTGTGTGTGTGTGTGTGTGTCATAAATAAATTAATTAAATCTTTAAAAAAAAAATGCCTGCCCCTTCACTACCTCCAAATCTCACCCCAAAACGACTCCTGTGGCTCGCTCTACCTGGAAACAGACAGGGAAATGAATTCTGGGGAATGTGGTCTTGTGCCCAAGATTACGTATCCTAGAAACCACCAAGGAGCCAACACCGATGCAAACACACGAGGGTTTATTTACAAGCTTGAGCTTGGGTCCAAGTATACCCGACACAGCGGAGCAGGGACTTGGTCCCTGAGGTGGGTTCCAGCTTAGTTTTATGGGCTGGTCTAGGGGACCTCCAGAAGGGGTGGAGGAATTCCTCAAGTTCTATTTACATTCTGATATGGGGCTTTCAAGGGCATTGAGCTCTTGTTCTCAAGGGCTTAACTGAAGTAAGGTAAAGTTCAGCTCTTATTCACAGGGGCCTGAGATGGCTGTACTTGTGCTAATGCTGAACTTAAGGTAGAACGGCCTTAATTTTCTCGGCCTCCACAGTGGTTGCACCTGGCCGAGTCACCACATGATAAAGCCACCTCACGTTTGAGGATGCATCTCGAGAATTTGCATTTTGAGTAAGTTCCCAGGTGATGCTCATGCTGCGAGGATGTGAACCACCCCGACAGTCCCTGCCCTCCACACGCCAGCAGCTCGTGGGTTGTGCGGGACAGTCTCAGTCATTATGCCTGTGTGGCCCCTGCCACCATGTGCCAGTTGTGCTTCCAAATTGTGGGACAGCTACAAATCCTCCCCTCCAGTTTCCAGAAGGCTCCTTTGGGAACCTATGCAGTCCCCAGGGAGGAACAGCTGGGGCTCTCTCAGCTACTCTAGGACGAAGCCCCGGAGCATCCATCCCTAGGGGGGCCTGAAGACCATCAGTGGTTCACATTGAAGTCCGCATGGGATCCACTCCAGTTCAGCTTGGGGCACAGACAGTGGAGACTCGGCAGCAAGGGAGGGAGAGAGCCTTCAGGAGCTGTTTTAGCCTCACAGAAATTCAAAATACAAGAGAAAGGCTCAACAGCAATGTGGAGAGGTTAAAAGGAGGAAGCAAGAAACACAACAGACAGCAGAAAAGCGAAGGTGAGCATTCGGTTTGGGGCGGCTGTTGCTCGCGTGTGCTCAGAGGGTGTGTTCTAGAACAGAATGTGTCATGATAAAGAAGGAAATCGCCAGGCGGAGCAGGAGGCATGTCCAGGCACGTCAGAGGAGCAAGGGATGTCTCGAAGGCCGCGTCCTTGGAGGCTCAGCCCCGGCCGGCCGCTCGCTGGGAACTGCCTCCGGCTCCCGGACCCTTCTGGAAGGGAGGTTCGCCAGCCCCACAGCCGGCGGGCTCAGGGACGGACCTGTGCCCCGGGCCAGATCCGCTGCGGTGGCGGTGGCGGGGCACGCTGCGCTTCTCTCGGGGGTGCGAACTACCCAACAGGGCCTGGGGGCGGCCGGGGGCGGCCCCACGGGTGCGAGGTTGGGTTCTGGGGAGCGGGAGCGCGCGTCTGCTGAAGGAGCCCCGCTCGGAGCCTGGAGCCTGGAGCCCGGAGCCCGCGCGGGGAGGGAAGCACAGGCGGCCAGGAGACCCGCAGCCAAGCACTCAGACCCGGCGGCGGCAGGGAGAAGCGCCAACAGCGCCGCCGTGGTGACCGCTGCGGGTCCAGTCGGGGTCCAGTCGGGGTCCAGTCGGAGCCCAGTCGGGGTCCGGTGGGGGTCCAGTCGGGGTCCAGTCGGAGCCCAGTCGGGGTCCAGTGGGGGTCCAGTAAGGGTCCAGTCGGGGTCCGGTGGGGGTCCAGTAAGGGTCCAGTCGGGGTCCGGTGGGGGTCCAGTAAGGGTCCAGTCGGGGTCCGGTGGGGGTCCAGTAAGGGTCCAGTCGGGGTCCAGTCGGGGTCCAGTCGGGGTCCAGTCGGGGTCCAGTCGGAGCCCAGTCGGAGCCCAGTCGGGGTCCAGTCGGGGTCCAGTCGGAGCCCAGTCGGAGTCCAGTCGGGGTCCAGTCGGGGTCCAGTAAGGGTCCAGTCGGGGTCCAGTCGGGGTCCAGTAAGGGTCCAGTCAGGGTCCAGTCGGGGTCCAGTCGGGGTCCAGTCGGGGTCCAGTAAGGGTCCAGTCGGGGTCCAGTCGGAGCCCAGTCGGGGTCCAGTCGGGGTCTAGTGGGGGTCCAGTCGGAGCCCAGTCGGAGTCCAGTCGGGGTCCAGTCGGGGTCCAGTCGGGGTCCAGTAAGGGTCCAGTCGGGGTCCAGTTGGGGTCCAGTCAGGGTCCAGTCAGGGCCGAGGGAGGGAGCGGGCGCCCCCCAGCGGTTGCTGTGTGCGAAGCAGCACGCTGGCCGCCGGGGTGGGCGGCGCGGGGATCCACAAGCCTGGCCCTGCTGGTGGGGCGTCGAAGGACCGCTGAGAGGGAAGGGGTCGTGAGAGCGGGAGCCAGAGACCAGCTGTGATCAGGAAAGGGGGTGTGTGAGTTGCACCCTTCCCTCCAGCTAAGGAGATGGTGGGCTGTTCCAGGCCGAAGGAACAGCATGGGAGAGGACCAAGTGAGAAGAGGCTCAGCCCCAGCCTGGGGAGCGAAGCAAGCTGGAAACACGACTGAGAGAACGGGCTGTGGCCGGTCGGTAACGGCCCTGAGTGCCGTGCCGCGTCCCCGAGGGCTCCAGAGAGAGCAGGTAAGGGACGTGACTGTTGCGCTTATCTGGGCGAGGGCAGGTACGCCTCCTCCAGGCGGGAGGAGCAAGGACATCTGACAGGTGCCCACATCTGTGGCCTCTGGATCTGCTCTCATTTATCGCTTTGGCTACATTCTGTCTAGGGAGTATCACCAGTCAGTGAAGTGGTTTGGATTTTCTCTGCCTGGTGCTACCCCCTTGGGCGCGGGCAGAACCGGTGCCAGGAAGTAGGGCAGGCACAAAGGACAAATCTATGATTCTGCTTACACGAGGGACCTGAACCAGGCCAGTTCACTGAGAAAGTAGAAGAGTGGTTGCCAGGGGCTGGGGTGAGGGGCCATGGGGAATTCACATCAGTTTGGGACAATGAAAAAGCTTTGGTGTTGAATGGTGGGATAATTGCACAGAAATGCAAACGTACTGGGGCACCTAGGTGGTTGATCCTTTGGCTCAGGGCGTGATCCCGGGGTCCTGGGATCAAGTCACACATCCGGTTCCTCAGTGGAAGCCTGCTTCTCCCTCTGCCTATGTCTCCGCCTCTCTCTCTCTGGTGTCTCTCATGAATAGATGAATAAATCTTAAAAAAAAAAAAATTTAAACAAGGGCTGCGCTGTGTTCTCTGGCCAGGGCCTCACAACACTAGGGACAGGCCCGGGGACTGCAGCAAGAGTGATGGGTCTGGATGATGGCAATGTGTTTGGGGTATCAGACTTCGGAACCAGGAGTGACAGTTCAACTACCTCTCTGTTTTGCAGATGAGAACGCGGAGCACAGAGAGGTGCTGTGGCCTGGATGCAGGGGCACCCACGACCCAGGGCAAAGGGGACCAGCTGTCCAGAGCAGCTGCGAGAGGTAGGCTTCTGCTGCACATTAGCATCTCACAGGCCTGAGAAAGACACTGTCCTTGCCTACTGGGCTGTGGCAGGGACTCTCAGGAGTCATTCTGAGCACAATCATTCCCTTGTGTGCAGACTTCACAGCCCAGCCCCCACAGCCGCCGTGGCTCCCAAGAGTGCACAGCTCAGGGCTGAGAATAGGGTGATCAAGGTCCCCCACCCCGTGGTGGAATCAGAAAGATTGGGGGGCCCCAGGCGCAGCTCTGCACATGACCCACACGTGCCCCACACCTGCAGCAGCTGTGATGGCTATAGGACACCCGCAGTGAAGGGCTCCGCAAGGGCCTGCCTCCCTCAGTAGGCAATGAGCGGAACTGCTCTCCTTTCACCCTGCCTTCCTGACTGGAGGGCTAACAGAACTGCAAAGACTCTGGAAGATGGAGTCTGGAGAGACCTGAAGGGAGGGTCGTGTTCTCTGCTGGGGGAGCAGAGCTAGCAAAGCCAGTGTGTATGGGAGGGGGCTTCTGGGCTGAGGGGGGGCCTGGATCACGTGCAGGTCAGCAGGTGTGCCCCACCCATGTGGCTGGCACAGCCTTGGGGGACCTCAGGCTCACAAAGCCTCTGGCCTGGGGCTGATTCTATGACAACTTGACAAAAGCAGCTCACCCTTCGACCATTCCACAAATAGGATGCAGTTGGAATTCATTTATCTAATGGGTGAATATACTTGCATCAGCTTCGGCTAGCAGGATTGGCTTCTGAAACCCAACTCCCGTTTCTTGCTATCTGTAAATGAGAATAAGAGCCAGTGGTTTTGCTATGAGCTGCTTCTGTTAAAATTTTGCAACACATAATTGGATTGACTGTGTCATCTCCTGCAACTGTTATGATAGAGATGAATTTCATGCATTCCCACTTAGAACTTTCATTATTATTTTCATCTTGAGGGACTTCCAAGGAAACAGCTTCCAAAAGCCACTTTGTTTGCCTGGTTCAAAAACTCTGAAGCCATGATTGTGAGTCTGAGTTGAGCTAAAAATAAAAGCCCCCAGAGCTTTGCTCATGCCAAGGGCCATGGTGGACAAATGGGTAAATCAAAACACTCCTGAGCAATGTAACAGATGACTAGCTTCAAATCAAAATCCAGACCATGTAAGAAGTACATACTGCATTTGGTTCCCTGGGAAGCCTCTCCATGTGATAGTCGCCTAGCGTTAACGCCCTGCTCTAGTCTTCCACGGAGAACTGAAAGTAGTGCCCTCACATGTCCTATTGCATCAAGGATTGTACAATCCGTATGAAAGATCTACAATCTCCAGCTCAGTCTTCCCACTGCTTTGCTAAGGGGAAAATACATGTGAGATGAAATTGTGTGGATATTATATTTGAATCTCCTTGTTCCATTCCAAAGAAGTATGATGGCAAAGGTTTCCAAAAAGGAATCTGGTTACTTCCAAAGTCTTTTTATAAGGCACAGCCATATTGGTTTTAGTATGATGAATTTCCACCCAAGAAAAAACTTTCTCATTCAAAAGAGTAAATGATTTAAAATAACACATGTCAGATTTATTTCCTGGCCTTACAAAAACATTCTGAACTCAAATTTCTGGGATCTTTTTGAAAACCATCTCCAAAAATAGGGTCTTTGAAGTCTCCTCGATGGTAACAAATTGACATCCTTTGAAGGGAATTTATTTTCAGAAAGCAGATACTGGGCAGAGCCAAGTCTCGTGGATAAGAGAGGCAGTTGGGCTAGGTAACAAACTGTTGGTTCTAAGTGTTTACTAAGCCCTTCTTATGTGCGGGGCACTACTCTATGCTGGAAAAACATAGAGAGGGGGCCTTCTTTTTTATTTATTTATGATAGTCACAGAGAGAGAGAGAGAGAGGCAGAGACACAGGCAGAGGGAGAAGCAGGCTCCATGCACTGGGAGCCTGATGTGGGATTCGATCCCGGGTCTCCAGGATCGCGCCCTGGGCCAAAGGCAGGCGCCAAACCACTGCGCCACCCAGGGATCCCGAGAGGGGGCCTTCTGAAGTGGTTTGAAGACAAATCTCAAAGGAAAACTCAATGTCTTCAATATGGCAACAACAAATACAGTCCACAGCCCATCAGAATGACTGTCTGACAGGTAACACTTATTGGAGTAAGTTCTTTTATGTTCATTTAAAAAGACTCATTACTTGATCACATTTTATAAATCTAATTATATGAAATTGTCATAAGAATAGATAGTGCTCTGTTTTATAATTGGTGGGATTCTGGAAAGTTGTGGGAAAATACTTTCAAGTTAAATGCACAAAGGAAACTTTTTTATTTTTTAAGCAGGCTCCATATCTAGCATGAGACACAACATGGAGTTTGAACTCCCAGGCACAAGATAGAGAGAGATCTCAGGAGTCAGATGCTTAACCGACTGAGCCACCCAAAGATGACTATTTTAAGAGGGAGAAACTGTTTTCAACTTATTTCCGAGCACCATTTGCTCTGTGTGTCAGAGTGTGCCCCCAGGAATTGTGCTCTGGTCTCACAGAGATACCCCAATCTCCAGGAACCTGTGGACCAGGACATGGCCTTCCCTGAAGGAGCTATGTGGTAGAGGCCAGTGGTAGAGAGGCAGATCCTCCAGCTGGGAGTCCTCTTAATGCCATGGTTCCTAGTTATTGCTCTGGATATATTTACAAACAGAAAAGGCTTTCTCCACTACACCATCCTGTTTGTGATCTCCTCAACCCAGTGTTGTATCTTAGGACACAGCAGGACCTGTAAGGCTCTGCAGCAGCCCTGCTGGCAGTCTGAAGTAATTCTACCCTGCAAAAAGTCTGTTTAGGTTGAATCATGAAATTGCTGGTTTTGGAGATCAAAACGGCAATCTCCTATGATTTGACCTAATATGTTGATAGGAAGGGTAAGTCATGGTGTAGAAAGCCAACCTCCAGCGATGATCTTTTCTCCTTTGCCCTCCTCCAATGTGATAAGAGTGCTTTCCTTTCCAGTCACTCCATATAAATCCTAAGAAAACGAATGCGGAGAATGGAGGCAGTTCCCAGGCCCCCATCTTCCTATAGGGAGGATCGTAGAAGATCTTTAAAAGTGTAGAGAGTTAAGTAATCCCAGTTCAGCTGCCCAGTGCTGAGAAGAGACAGCTCAGCACCTGCTGCTCTGTGCCCGAGCCAGCTGTCCACAGTGCCAGCCACACAGCAGGGCGGAGGCTCCCATCCTTGGAGGAGGGTCTCGGGGACAGGACTCCCACCCCCAGCTTACCAAGCCTGGAAGTTAAGGCATAGGGTCATAGTGGACACATACTGTAATGGTGACCTGGTCAAATTCAGAACCAGTCTCTGAATTCTCTGCAAATGAGCTTCCATTACGACAGTGTGTAGAAGAAAGCCCTGAGTAGTATTTCATAAGCCAAGTGAGTTTTTAGAGAGAGAAACAAAATAACATCTACTGGGCTGGGATCTAAATTCTTTCTCTCCATTTCGAGTGGGTGTCATGATAGAGAATCAGGACAGTACAAACCATTTTTGGAATGGATTCTGCAGTGTCCTTAGACTTGCTGTTTTAAAGATGATCCTACTACATTTTGAGTCTCTGCCATGTGGGTCCTCCGATGTGCACTGAAATGTGAGCTGTTGTTGAATCGCCTCCCACATTCAGTACACTCATAGGGTTTCTCTCCGGTGTGGATTCTCTGGTGGATGATGAGACTGGAGCTCTGATTGAAGCTTTTCCCACACTCCCCGCATCTATAGGGTCTCTCTCCAGTGTGAATTCGCCGGTGGGTAATGAGGTTTGAGCGGTCGCTGAAACTTTTCCTGCACTCGAGACATTCGTAGGGTTTCTCTCCTGTGTGGATCCTCTGATGGCTGGTGAGCGTGGAACTCTTGCTAAATCTTTTCCCGCACTCAGGGCACTGGTAGGGTTTTTCGGCAGTATGTGTTCGCTGGTGCGCACTGAAGTGTGAGATACTGGTGAAACTTTTTCCACACTCAGTGCACTTATAGGGCTTCTCCCCTGTGTGGACTCTCTGGTGCAGAGTAAGGCTTGAGCTCTGGTTGAAGCTCTTCCAGCACTCTCCACATTTGTAGGGCTTCTCTCCAGTGTGGACTCTCTGGTGTGCTGGGAGGTTGGAAGGATCACTGAAGCCTTCTCCACATTCAGGGCATTTGTAGGGCTTCTCCCTAATGTGGATTCTCTGGTGGCAAACCAGATGTGAGTTTCGGCCACAGCTTTTCCCACAATGGCCACACTTGGAAGGTTTCTTTTCCCCAGTGTGGGCTAATCTGTGGACAGCGAAGTGTGAGCTCTGGCTGACATGCCTTCCATATGCGCAGCACAGACAGGACTTCCTTCCTATGTAGGTTCCCTGAGGATCTAGGAGTTTACCTACGTCTCTTTCTGGAGGGAAGAGTGCTTTTTGTCTGTCTTCTGAGGGTGTTTCCCACTGCATTTCCACTCCACATTCGCCTGCCCAGTTTTTCCTCCAATCAGGGGCCTGGGAAGCATCTATTTGGGGTCTCTCTAACTGTGCTCCCTGTAGCTCTGCTTCCACTGAGATGTCCTGGCTTGAATTCTCCTTGTCCTCTGTCCTCATGTCACGATCTGAAAGAATGAGATGAAACCGTAAATGTGACCTGCTTTCTGAGCTCAGAAGAATGCAAACAATGTGCAGGAGGCCCCTTCTGGACACTGAGAATTTCTCGATGGTGACAGAAAACCGTCAGCTTTCCATTAAGGAACACAGAAACAGGAATCTGGCTGAACCACGGGTCAGACAGCCAACTTGCAGGCCTTCCTCCCTCCCCCAGCTTCAAACAAGAAGGCTGTGTGGAGAAAGGCTGAAGGAAGGGAGGTGGGCATGGTCCAGACCCATTTCTTCCTCTCCCTACTCCTAAGAGCCTCTGCCCCCGAGCGTGGCTCCTCACTTCTCCTCCCACCCACCTTGGCTGGCAATCAGTACTAAAAAGGTACCTTTCTCTTCTTGATGCTGCCTTCCGGGTGGAGGGACAAGCCTGAGAATAACTCTGGCCCCTCCCCACCCCCTTCCTTCTCAAGCAGGAAGAAGGATTCCTTCCATTAACAAGGAGCTGGGCACACATGGCTCAGAAGCCCAGCAGTGAAGGCTCCATGCCGGCGGGCAACGCTGTGGGCAATGCTGTGGTTGTCTGGGGTTCAGTGTGAGGAAGCCCACTGTGGCCACCCATCAAGCCACATTGTCCTGTGGCTCTACCCGTTAGAAAGCTGCCATTCTGATCTCAACAGGTTACTCTTATGTTTCTTGGTGGGTCCAGAATCTAAGTGGGGTAAGAACAGTACTATATTGGATCCTCTCACATTACAGGGCAAGGTGTTCATGTATTTAACAATAATTACAAGGCTCATGATAATGACAACATCATCTGAGTGCTAGCCCTGTGTCAGGGTCCTAGTAATGGCCCAGTGAGGTAGAAACTGTCACTATGTTCATTTTACAGATGAGAAGATGGAGGCTTAGGGTATGTAACCAGTTTATCCAAGAACAGACAAGTCTTAAGCTGGCAGGCTATTGTCTATAATATGCACAGATTTCACATGGATAGGGTACTTTGGATGGAAATGAACAACTGGAACGTTAAGTCACCCGCACCTCTCTTTCCTCCTATAACTGTTACTAAATATTGTTTCTATAATGCTGTTTCTCAAAGAAGACAGGGAGACCCATTTGCTATAGAGCAGAGCAAGACCCTCAAAGTTGTCTTGTGAGTCACCTCGTACCATGGCTTCAGCAGAGGGCTGATTCTAGCAATATCTGAGGACAAGCAGTTAACAATGTTTCTTAAGGAAATAACAGTTCTCCTGACAAGCCCATTCCAGAGGCATAGACAGTGACCATCTCTCCTGCTTCCGGTCCCAAGTGATTCCCTTTCTCACTGCTCTGAGGGGCACTGTGGGAAGGAGTGCTTACCACTGGGACTTCCCTTCCAGGCCTGGGGGCCAAGGCTCCTGGGCTCCTCCTGGGGTTCCTCGGCCAGTTCACTACCATCCCATGTCACATCCTCCAGTGTGGCCTTCTGGCTCTCTTCAGAGTACCCCCTGTTCCACAACAGGCCTCCTGCCACCTCTAGGGCATCAACAGTGCCAGCGAGGGTCCAGGGGCTCATCAGGGCATCCATCTCCGGATAGAAGGGGCAGGTGCCTGGAGCACGGCTGCTCCTGGCTTTTCGGTAGTGGGTCTGGAGGTTTTTGAACCGGTAGCGACACTGTTCCAGGGTCCGCAGGAAGCCGTGCTCCCGCAGCCGCGCAGCCACCAGCCGGTACACCTGGCGGTTCCGATGGCAGGTACGCAGCTTCTCATGGATGTAGGGCTCCCCAAGAATCCCCAGGAAGGTTTTCGTTTCCTCATAGCCCCAGTGCACCCCTAGAGGAAAGGAAGAGAGGAAAGCTAAGATGCCGCAGCTGCTTGTGTCCTGAGGCCAGCAGAAACACCTGCCGCCTGCCTCAGCCTCAGTGACTTCCTTGTCCTCTGTGACAGGACCTGATCCAACAATATGCACACATTTATTTTTATGCTTATAAATATTATTCTTACATAAGGGTTTTTCCTTTTTCTCAATGGCACACAGGAACAAAGGGCTGTCCCACTTGTTTGTAAAAATAGCCTTCCCTGCCCTTTCCAGATGGTTGCAGAACCCCCTGACTCCATGGCACCTCTGAAATAACTGGTTGGTGGGGTTCTTTCCATACCCTGCTGACAGCCAGGGCCCTCCCATCTTGCTCACGACGAGGGCTTACCAGTAGGACCATGAAGCAGGGCGGGGATTCCAGGGCTTCCAGACACTTCTTCAACACTTAGCTCATCCCCCCAGAATCCTCTGTGATGGCTCCTGAATGCCCTTCTAAAGATGCTGCTGTGTGGCCCGTGTTCTGCCCCGGCTCCTCCGACTCGCGTTCCAGCACAGCCTCAGCTAGCACCGCCTCCTCCTCATCTCCCCAGTAACCCTCCTGCAGCTCTTCCTGCTCCACATCAGGGTTGCTCTGGCTAAGCAGAGCCCCTGCCACATCTGGAATGGGGATGGCAGCCTGTGGGCACATCAGGGCATCCATCTCCTGATAGAAGGGGCAAGTGCCTGGAGTGCGGCTGCTCCTGGCTTTGCGATAGTGGGTCTGGAGGTTTTTGAACCGGTAGCGACACTGTTCCAGGGTCCGTAGGAAGCCGCGCTCCCGCAGCCGCGCAGCCACCAGCCGGTACACCTGGCGGTTCCGATGGCAGGTGCGCAGCTTCTCATGGATCCAGGACTCACTGAGAATTTCCAAAAAGATCTTGTTCTCCTCATAGCCCCAGTGCACCCCTGCCACCTTCTCATCCTCCAGGCCCTGCCACTCCAGCTCCTCCCAGGTCTTGGGTTTTCTCAGGATGGGCAAGTAGCTGGGCTTGACTCTTCCACTTGCTGGAGAGTCTCTGGCGCCTTCCTCTCCGAGGCCCTGATGATCTGGGCTCTGTGGGTTTTCCTCCTCCCTGTAGCAGTTGACCCTAGGTCGTGGGTTGGCAAATCTATTTGCAGGGAGACAAAGAGAAGACACAATGGTTTGCTAAATCTAATCCCAACCACTTTATATGCCAGGGAAGGGAGATACTATTAATTTTTTTTTTTTTTTGAAGTCTCAGGGGATTCTTGGGAAGCCTTGGTGAAAGTAATACTAAGGACTGTGAGGGAAGAAAAGAAAAAATCCAGGCCCAGATCTAGAACTATTCACACATGATCATCTGTCCTGTAACAAAATTTAGGCTCCCACCAGAGGCTTTACTGACCGTCTTCCTAAGATGAGCTTCGGTACAATATCCTCTCTGGGCTCTAGAAACTCATCCTCGATAGCACTGACTTGGTATTAGATTACAGGTCTCTTTTTAAGCAGGATTGAGGGACTTGAAAATTTTGACCCAAAAAGGTATGGAATAGTTACTATGAGAACTCACCAGCTAAATTCTGTACAGGAACACAACACCCTTACCCAGTGCAGCCCCATATGCAGATCTCTCCCAACTTCTTTCCAGGTGGTTCCTCCATCCAGGTTCTGGCTGCTTCCATGCCTCCTGAAAGACATACACAGCCACATCACCGAGTGTCAGCAACTCCTGAGAAAACACAACACCCTACTCAAAATATGCTGCCTTGGGACAAAACACCTCTTACACTGCCTTCATCAGAGGGTAGGTGACAAAAAAGATTGAGAAGAAACTAAAACATGAGTTTTCTTTGGCTTTTACATTGCATAAGGCATGGGGAGCCTGGGTGGCTGAGTCAGTTAAATGTCCGACTCTTGATTTTGGCTCAGGTCATGATCTCGGGGTCTGGGGATCAAGCCCCACGTTTGGTTCTGGGTTCAGCCAGGGGTCTGCTTGGGATTCTCTCTCTCCCTCTCTTCCTGCCTCTCTCCCTACTCATTCACTCTCCCTCTAAAAATAAATAAATAAATAAATAAATAAATAAATAAATAAATAAATAAATAAATAAAATCTTTTTTAAAAAGGCAATAAGGGGCAGGGGAAGGGAACAGAGGGAGAGGAATAAAGCAAGAAAGCAGCTAACATTTAGTGAACACTTATGCACTGTGCTGGAAATTTTTCACACTTGCTCAAAATTCTACGGTCAGTATGCAGTGGAGCTGGGACTTGAACTCAGGGCTGTCTGACTCTGAAGCTGTCGTCCCTGGTCCCTGGCTACACCTACACCCGTAGTCCTGCATACCATACAGGCAAGATTCCGATAGGGAAATAACTATTCCCCTTAAGGCAAACAAGCAAATCAGCATAATCTTACATTCTCAGGGACAAGGAAAAGAATGACTTTAATACAATTCCTCACTACCTCAGCTGTGGTGCTGCCTTACATAAAGAGGCACAGAATTTTAGGCAACATTCGTTTGGGTAACATTTTTCTGGCAGATGAAATCTATACTGTTACTGGGCCTCCTTGATGGCTAAATTTGCCTTGGCATTTCTGATAAGCAAGAGAGTTGGTTGCCAAAGCCCCCCTGCATGAGTAGTAAAATGTGTCCTGAGTAAGAGAAAAAATCTAGCTCACCTGGGAGGTGCTCAGGATCCCCTGGTCACCACCACTCTCCTCCAGAGAAAGACCCAGAGCCCGAGGATCTGTTTGGAGACAACGTTTCTTGACTCCTTCTGGGGACTAGCCTGACTTAGCTCTGAAATAGAAGAGTCTTCCCCTGTCTCTTTGTATCGCTTTGTCCCAGAAAGAAGGTTGGTAAAAAAACCAAAATGGACTTTTCCCTTCCATCCAGGTTACTGACTGTCCTAGTTTTATGATTTTCTTCTTCAGTTTTGATAACACATTTAAATTGTCTGAATTGGGGCAGCCTAGGTGGCTCAGCGGTTTAGCGCCGCCTTCAGCCCAGGGCCTGATCCTGGAGACCCGGGATCAAGTCCCACGTCAGGTTCCCTGCATGGAGCCTGTTTCTCCCTCTGCCTGGGTCTCTGCCTCTCTCTCTCTCTCTCTCTCTCTTGTGAATAAATAAATAAAATCTTAAAAAAAATTTTTTTTAAATGAATTGTCTAAATTGGTCTAGGGACACATGTACCTGTTCTGAGAATTACTGTGCTGTAGTTTAACCCTACCTTGTGCTTTTCCCAGCAATCAGGCCTAAAATCTGTGCCCACACCTAACCTACTGGGACCAGTAGCCTGCCACTCACATAAGGAAAAGTGCCACAGACTCCCCTATGTAAGTTTACAAAACATGCCAACCAAGGCTCATCTTCCCTTTGAAGGTGTCTATTGAGAATCCCCCAGATTCATATGGCCAGCCTCATTTCACATGCCCCATCTTCCAAGTGGAAAGAAATCCCACTCCCTCCATTCAGAAGGGACTGAAGGGACTTTCACACCCTCTCCACAGAAGGGTCCTTCCTCCTCCCCAATCTGCTGCCTCTTGGGGATCCCTGGGTAGCGCAGCGGTTTGGAGCCTGCCTTTGGCCCAGGGTGCGATCCTGGAGACCCGGGATCGAATCCCACGTTGGGCTCCCGGTGCATGGAGCCTGCTTCTCCCTCTGCCTATGTCTCTGCCTCTCTCTCTCTCTCTCTCTCTCTCTCTCTCTGTCTGTGTGACTATCATAAATAAATAAAAATTAAAAAAAAAAAAACAACTGCTGCCTCTTACCGTTCTTGTGGAAGGATCGGAGTTCTACTTTTGGGCTGTGATTCAACTGTTCTTCTGGTTCTGGCTGTGAGTTTCTCACCATCACCTGTAACAGACACATGGATCCTGTCTGCACTTGCTTCAGATGGATGCTTAGGGAACCTGGCGCTGATCCCAAGGGTCCCAACTCCTCTGAGTGTACCTTCTGCCCCTGTTCAAGGACCAGAAGTGGTCAAAATTCTGTAGGTACTAAAGCTTAATCATCCCAAGACACAAAGAAACAAAGAAGAAATCAGTCTTATGCAAATCACTGCAGGGCAGTAAGAAGTGTGAATGTGTGGAAGACTAACAGAGAAGGTCTGGGACCCAGGCTCTCTCCTGGAGCCACACCTGTCAATCCCCAGCAAAATGCAGCCAACCAAAAATACAGCTGTTTTTCAGTAGGACTCAAAGGTCCAGTGTTATCAGGGAAGACCAGTGAAGCCTCTTGCTTCCAGCTGGCTGCTGATGAATGATAGCTATTCTATAAAACAACAACAATCAGCTTTTTGGACCATCTGTGTGTTCCTCCTCGACCAGAGTGGTGTTCAAGGCACCTTAAGCACCACTCATACTTAATGGCAGGGACCAACACTCAGAACAACCTATGTAATGGATTCTCTGGAGTCAGTCTGAGCTTGGAAGGAAAGCTGTGGCTCCCAGACTTAGGGAATAAGCAAACAGCAGAGCTCTATGCGTCACCCATACCGCTGGCACAACAGCAGAGCTCTATGCGTCACAAACAGCAGAGCTCTATGCGTCACCCATACCGCTGGCAAACCAAGGGAGTGCAGTCTCTCACATTCCCCTATTTTAACCACTCAGAACAAGTTTCCTGTTTCTCACCTGGAGCCCATATCGTCCAGGTCCTTTCTGCAAGTCTTCCACCAGGGCCACGGCTGCCTCTCCACTCTCTGGATGCTTCTGTCTAACCCAGATCTGGATCTCCTGAGGAAGGACAGTCAGAAACTGTTCCAGCACCAGCAACTCCAGGATCTGGTCTTTTGTACACTCCTCTGGTCTCAGCCACTGACGACAGAGCTTCCGGAGTTGGATAAGGGCCTCCCGGGGTCCTGATGCTTCCTGATAGCAGAAATGCCAGAAACGCTGGCAGGAGGTCTCTGGTCCATGGTCACTCTCCTGAAGGGAAATCTCCTGCTCCCAATGGGAATCATCTTCCAGCTTCACTATTCGAAGGTCTTCTTGCACTTGAGGAGTTTGGATTTGTCGGCCCACAGACACAGCCATAGTTCAGCTCAGAGAAGAACCTTGCAACTGGGTTCTGATGCTCAAACTTCTTCCTTTAGCACACTGGGACGCTACGTTGAGATAGGAGTCACCGAGTTAACTTGAAATTCTAGAGCCAGAGATACATTATGGAGTGAAGGCAAGTGACCATCACAAGTTAGCCCAGAAAGACAGAGGTGAAGGAAAGAGCCCTCCTGTTCTCCCCTTCCCAAGTTCTGGTGCCTGTGGAGTCTGGCCCTCTGTCGCTGGGGTGGGAGTGGAGATGTGTGGGGCAGCAGCTCCCAAAGTCTGAGAGGAGGGTCAAGGGCTGGCGATCTGGTTGGAAAGTAGGGGAGCCTGACACTGTTTGCATAGCAATTTACTTGAGGCCAAGAAAGATGTCAATTATCCATACTTATGAATGAGGAAGGGCCAGAGGAGATATCCTGGGGACAATAGCTGCCCACCCTCCCAGGCCACTGGTCTTCAGGAGTGAACAGGACAAGGACGAGCAGGTGCACAAGGTAGCAGCACCTTGGAGAGCAGTGCCCGGGTGGAGCGGGCTCTAGGCTTCAGGCGCACAGGATCCAACCTCTAAACTAACCACATCTCTGGAGGGGCGCTCGGCACCGGGCCCCCCACTCAGGCCTCCCCAGTCCTGCAAGAACTCTCTCCCAAACAGGGACATCTACCCTGGCTCAACTTCAAAAGCACGGATAATAAAGACACAGACGCATATTCAGAGCTGGCAGGAAAGTTAAGAGATACTTCGGCTGGTCAGTCACAGCCCAGGGACTGCATTCCTTGGAGACCCCCAGGGACTCGCCCAAGGTCACAGAGCTGATGTTTGGCAGGGAAGACGCGGGGCTCCCTGACCGTGGGCTGAGGGGCTGGCCCGCAGAGGGCGACTTACACTGGAAGGTGGCTCCGCGGGCGACCTTCCCTGGAAGACTTACGGGGTCCACGCGGGCCCTGCGGACTGGGTGGCCTCGGCGCCTACGGGGCCAGGGTCCTCCCCGCGGGGTCCGGTGGGCGGCGCGAAGGACGGCGGTGCCAGCACGAGGGGCGCATCCTGCCCGGGACCCTCACGGGGCCTGAGCCCGAGGCGGCGGGACCCAGGGTATTGGTCCGGCCACTCCGCCCCCCACCCCCGCCGGCGAGGGCGGCCAGCGTCCCCGCTGAGACCTGCGCGCGCCCCCGGAGGCTCCGCGTGTACGAGCGGCCGGGGCCCGCCGCACCAGCTCCGCGGCTACGCAACGTCCCCACACGACCCGGACCCCCAAGCCCAGACCCGGATTCCGAGTATTCGGACGTCCACTAAACACCGGAAGCGGAAACTCAAGCCCCAGAAGGACTCGGTTTTGTCGGACTCCATTTCCCATAGGCCTCCGCCAGTGCCTGCAGATTGACAGCGGCGTTAGCCAATAAGCTGCGGGGGTGGCCTAGGCGTCTATGTGTTTCAGACGAATCGTTAATGATGGGTGGGACCTCATGGCACGCGGGTTTGGGAGTTCAGAGCCACCGGTAGGACCGTCCTAGGTGGAGGACGTGTGATCCTCCTCCTTTCCCGCACTCTCGGGGGCGCTGAGACAGAGAAGGACCCTTGCAGGCAGGAAGTCTGCGAGTGTGAAGCCAGAACTCCAATTCAGATTTTTTTTTTTTTTTTGCTACTTAAGAAAGTACTTCTCTGGCATGTCCCCTATGTAATGCTTTACGTATACATACACCACACACCACCCCCAGTTCCTGAGTGCACAGTCCTGGGAGATTCAGGATGAATCCTACTGACGCTTACTCATTCAAGAATCAGTCATGGAACATCAACTTTGGCCCAAAGGAAACACTCCCGCCTCTCAGGAATGCAGTCCAGCAGAGGATGCATTTTTATTTTAAGTTTATTTATTTGTTTTTAGTAATCTCTGTGCCCAACGTGGAGCTGGAACTTAACCACGATGAGATCAAGGGTCGCGTATTCCAGCGACTGAGCCAGACAGGCGCCCCTAGGGGATGCATTTTTTTAAATGCTGCCCACAACCACTCATATATCTCCAATGCAGTGTGGTAAGTGCTAAAAGGTGACTTCAAACTTAGTGGCTGGAAAGAAATACCAGAGAGCAACTGGGTGAGCCCAAGAGGTAAGAAGGTGCAGCTACAGGGGAAGGGGACAGGAAACTGTACTTTATTAAGCATCTACATTGCATATTTTATCTGGTTTGGATCTGACAAGGAATCCTGCGTAGATCTCCCTATATAACAGATGAAAGATCCAAAATTCAACTGGAGGTGGGTGAAGCTATGATTCTGCCCACACAATTGGCAACCTGAGGTGGGGGAGGAGATGCACAAGGGAAGGGCCAGGTGACAAGAGGGGCTTTCCAGAAAGTCCTAAGTTGTGAGTTCCCACCAAATCACCAGAGCAGCTTTGCTTTTACGTATTTTCTGCTATTAAAAAAAAAAAGAAAATTGAAAATCACTGATCCAAGCCCATGCCCTATTACCTTAACTAATTTCCTGAGCAAGTGGAACTTTCACTGGAAGCAAAATCAAGCATGGAGGGGGTGGTCCCAACCTCAGGTCATATCACCTTCACCATCAACACCACATTAGTATTTCAAGGGAAAAATGCATACATGTCCTCAAGCTGTGAGCCACACCCCTCAAAGAACAGGACTAAAGGACCCCTTCCCCCAAGGTCTATTTAGATAAGACACTTTCCTTCTCGCAGCCTTCAGGTCCATTTGTTGGTGAAAGCAGGCTCCATCTACATCAGAGTTGTCAGTATTACCAGAGAGAATAGGATTTCAATGTTCATGGCCTTACAGAGTGACTTACCTCTTCCCAGCAGCCTTCTAGAATGAGAAAGGCAAGTATCACCAGCGGTTTGGCAGATGTGGAAAATGAGGCCTCCAGAAGTGATTTGCCCTCCTCATGCTGCTAGTCAGCCAGACACATGTGTCTGGAACCAGGTCTGCCAGGCTCCCAACACTCCACCCACTGCACGGCAAGTGTCAGGACAGGAGCCAGTGGGAGACGCCCAGGGCCTAAGAACTCTGAAGGGCGTCACAGTGTGGGACAGCTGGAAGAGGCAAGCAGAGGTCACTAGTCAGTTTAAGCAAGTTTGGTTTTTAGATCTTTGGAATGTATTTAGAAAAACATTGCACGGAGGTGTTGATAAGCAGTGCCTCAGCAGACAAGGATCTCCAGATGAAGGAGATAAGCTTATCCTCCAGAAATTTGATGGATCACAGCCACATATAATGAGTAGAGGGTACTGTTCCTTGGGCACACTGGATCATCCATTTAACTCCAGTTTAACCAGTGATACTAACATATCTGCACAAGGGGACATGTTCATAGGGGAACCTGGAAGGAGGAGTTATCAAGGGGATCTTGGGTACTGAGTAGACGGCGCTGGGGGTGAGGGGGGCATGAAGATAAGCTGGATTTGAAGTACTGCATCTGCCTCCTGAGGGTGGCTGGTGTCTGCTTGTCCCTCACATGATCCCTTCCTTTCCTTCCATGCTGCTCAAGCACTGTCTGATCATAAAGCCACTCATTTCAGTCACTCAAGACCAGGAACAAGGGGTGCTCTGAAGGTGGCTTGCGATAGGAGATCCCCTACTATGAATTCATAATTGGGGATCATTAACACGAGCCTACCACCCAGGATTCCATCATCTCTGGGTGTACTCTTCAGGCTCCAGGTGTACATCTCCGGGCTCTGCACCAGAAAGGCTGGGGACCAGAAATCTGTGGTGATTTTGCCAGAATGTACCACCCCTGAGGCCTCCTGGCAGGTACCCCTGCCTCTGGTACCAACAGTGTAAACAGGCAACAGAGATGTCATGCCTGCCGCGGCCTGGGAGTGGTCAGGGGCCTGGGCAAGGTTTCCTGGGACCCAGACTCCACATCCCGCAGCAGTTCTACAGCTGCCTGGGGCCTGTGAAGGGTGGAAAGTTCTCAGGGTTAGGACACTGAGAAGAACCAGCAGGAGTGGGAACCCCAGGGGCCAGAGGGCCCTAGAGCCACAGCCTCTGCCGATGCCAGAGGCTTGAGCCCAGTTGCAAAAGCAAATGGAATTCACCATCCACCCTTACTCTACCCCAGGCTAGGAAACCCTCCAGCTCAAAACCTGACCATCCTTCATGCAGTTCTATGTCTATTCCCTCTGGGATTGGGGCTATTTTATCAAGTCAAGAGGATGGGAAAAGGAAAGACTCTACTCCTATGTCCAGAAATTTGGAATAGCTTCATAGGGCCCTGCATCAGGGAGGTTTGAAAGACTCCAGTGCTGCCTGTGAGGGCCCCCACAGAGCTCCCTGTTGGGAGACAGGACCCCAAGGTAGGGGGTAAAGGGCTGGGAAGAGCACCACTGGCCACGTGGTCACGTGCAAGGAAAGGCCAATTACATCTGTGGATCTTCTTGATGCCAGCTCCAGAGAAGACTCGTAGGCAGCATATCAGTTATCTTTCAGTGTTTTGTTGTTCTCTCCATTCTTCCCATAGATATTTCTCAGGGCTGTAGTAGCAGAACAGGCATTGGGCAACGTACCTATTGGGCCTCTCTGCCCTAAAGTGGGGATAGTGACCTACCTCACTTACCTCCCTGCCTCGTTGTCCAGATTAAGTGGGGCATACAATGGAGAGCTTAGCACAGAGCCTGTGCATGGTAACCGCTCAGTAAATCGTTACTATAAACTATTATGGCTTTTTTGTAAACTATGAACACAACCCAAAGGGAAAGAAAATTCCATGAAAAAGAAAAAGAAGCCTCATTATGACCTGCCTCCAACTGTAAAATCTCTAATAAAAATGAGGGTGTGTGGTTAATGGCACAAGTGTCTAGAGCCAGGTCTGTCCAGTGCACACACTCCCTCCACTACACCAAGCTTGAGAATGGGGGCAGGGGACAGGGGGCCAAAGTACTGCCTGGGAGGGGACCTGAAGGGGACTTCTGAGATGTGGCAAAGTTGTTTCTTTCTTTCTTTTCTTTCTTTCTTTTTTTGGGGGCAAAGTTGTTTCTTGATCTGAGTGCTAGTCACACAGGTGTGTTCAGTTTGTAAAAGTGCAAGGAGCTTACACTTCCATGGGCTTATCTGTGTGTTGTATTTTTTAAAAAAGATCAAAACAAGGGGAGCTGTCTCAGGATATAGTCATATGACTACACTGGGACCAAAGAGTGAGTAAGATACAGTCTCCAAGTTGCATTGCCTGTCCAGACAGAGGAGAAACAGACTGTGTATTAGACTTGGCTACAATAAGAAGATGCCTAGTTTTCCACTGCGTTTTGATATCTGTGATATTTCAAATATGAGTTGTTTCATTAGGATACTGGTTAGTTGGGTTTTTTTTTTTAGATTTTATTTTTTTAAGTTTTGAACTTAAAACCCCAAGATCAAGAGCCACATGCTCTAGCTACTGAACCAGCCAGGCGCACTGGATAGTTGGTTTTTATAAATGTCTTCAGCTGTGATTTCATGTACCAATTCCAATAAATCATAATTTAGGTGAGAGACACTGAGGTTTAAATTAATTTACATTTGGGGCACTTGGGTGGCTAGTCAAGCATCTGCCTTCAACTCAGGTCATGATCCTGGGGTCCTGGGATCGAGCCCCAAGTTGGGCTCCCTGCTTAGCAGGGAGTCTGCTTCTCCCACTCCCTCTGCTGCACTGTTCATGCTCTGTCTCTCCCTCTCTTGCTCTATCTCAAATAAATAAATACAATCTTAAAAAAAAACCTAATTTATATTTATCTTCTTACCAAAGGAAAGTGTGGGAAACTGAGTCTATTTTCCAACTCAGAGTTTTGGGCTCCACCTGCCTCTTCATTTCTGTATATCCCCATGAAGAGAACTCAGCTGGCAAAAATGAACTGAGTTCCTGTCACATACCAGGCCCTGAGCCGGGTGCTGGAGACAGAGTTTAGGACCTCTGTCTAGAAGGCAGAGGAGGGGCAGAATCATCTCACAGACTCTAAAGTCAGGGAGCGAGCCAGTGCAGGAGGCAGGGTCAGGTCTGCAAAAGAAGAGCAGGGAAGGCCTCCTGGAGGAGGGGGTACCCAGGCTGGGTGTTCTGAGATGTACAGATATGCCCTAGGCAGACCAAGCATTTCAGAAAAGGGGGGACAGCATGAGGACAAGGTGAGGCCCCCTGGAACACATTCACGGGGAGCAGCCAAGAGGACAAGGATAGTCTGTGGATTGGGGTGCAGTGAAGAGGTTGCATGGGGGCCATCCAAGGAACGTAGGGATGAGGAGCCCCAGGGGGTTTAAGCTGGCTAGTGCCAGGCTCAGTTGTGTTGGAGAACGCTCATGCAGGCGACGACCTGAAGGGTGAAGTGGAGACAGCTTGGGTGCTATTGCAGGTGCAATGGTCTGACTGTGCTCCGTGTGGGGGTGGTGGTAAGGTGGGAGCTGGCAGGTAGAATTGGAAGGGCCGGATTCCTGAATGGCCCTCAGGGTGCCGAGGGAGGAAGGAGTCGTGGGGGACTCCCAGGTGTGGGGTTGATGAGGCCAGGCCTGGCAGTGCTGTTGACAGAGGAGACACCAGGGAGGCCAAAGGGAGGGGGCTCCTGAACAGAGTCTGAGGCTGTAGGACCCACTGCAGTTTTTGTACCATTTATTATAAAATTTTTAAAAGATTTATTATTTAGAGAGAGTGCACGAGGAGGGGGGAGCAGATCCTGACCTGAGCCAAAACCCAGAGTTGATGTATAACCGGCTAAGCCACCCAGGTGTTCATTATAAATTTTCAACTGTCCCAAGGCTGTTCCCATGAACTTAGAACCAACCGGCGACAGAACATCAGTCCCTAAATGCATGTACATGTAGGGGAAATGTCTTGTTGCAGACACAGGTGTAACTGAATTGAGAGCAAAGGCTGGCAGGAGATCTGCCAAGGGGACTGGGGCTTCCTGAGGTCTTTTCAGGAAGGCCATGCCCTTCCATTCCAGGCCAAGCCACACGAAGGCCTGTGTATGCCGAGCCCTCCCTGCCCCCACATACCTGTTCCAGGGGCAAGCAGAACAGGAAGCAGAGGACTCTTGGCCTTTCTATGACCACGGTTGGTCATTTCCCAACCTGGGTCTAGCCTGATCTTGTGTCCCTTTTTTTCCAAGATGTTTTGTGTGCCTATCAGCTAGAGAGGAGTAAAAAAAATAGAAAGTTTTGCTAAGCTTAATGTCAGCTCTTTTCGTAAGTGGAGACTTAGGGGAAGAGAGAGCCAGTATCTTCTACAACCGAAACACCAGAACCTAGTATCAGCTAGGAAACCACCCTATCCATTCTCCCTTGGGACAGCTCTCGTAGCTTCCCAGACAGATGGGATTACTTCTGTGAAAACTTCCTGAAGCCAGGTAATGGAATTTCTCATTCATCACCCTTCCCTAGTACCTAACACAGTGATGGTACCTAAGTCCTTAATGTTTGCAAGGAAATGAGGGAATGGGATTGATGATGGGGATTTCACAGCCTACGTGGTTTGGTTTAACAACCGTCACTCCTGGGATGCCTGGGTGACTCAGTGGTTGGGCATCTGCCTTTGGCTCAGGTCGTGATCCTGGGGTCCTGGGATTGAGTCCCACATCAGTTCCCCATCGGGAGCCTGCTTCTCCCTCTGCCCATGTCTCTGCCTTTCTCTGTGTCTCTCATGAATAAATAAATTGGAAAAAAAAAACCGTCACTGCCAAGTTTAGAAATGTCCTCCTTATGTCTAATCTAGCTGATTGATTCTGGAAAGAGAGGATTCCCAAAGACCTCCTTAGAAGGCCGCCTGGCTCCTTGACCAAAGCTGCCACTCCAAGTCCTGCCTGACAGACTGAATGAACTGTTGGCAAAAGGCAGTGGGCAGGTGTGTGCACTAGTCAAGCACACAAGTCTCGGTTCACCCAAAGATGTGTTTTTTGAAACCACTGATTTTTACTCCCTGAAGGTCTTGAACCACTTTCGGCCTAGGGCAGAAGGTGAGTGGGTAGGAAGTGAAGTGTGGGTTTGCTAATAGTCAAGTTCACATTAAAAGACAGACACAGGAAAAGAATGGGACTCTATTTTATTAGGAAACATTGAGCATTCTATAAGAACCAAGGCCCATTGTGAGCATAGGCTCCATGCACTGGAGATGGTTTCATATTTCCCAGAAACACCTGATCTGCTCTCCTCTTCCTTATAACAAACCCCTTGCCCTGCTATCACCCCCTGGTCTTTATGGTTTCAAGAACCCAAGAACAAAGCCCTGGTAGCATCCCAAGATCGACACCTTCAGGACAACTGATTCAAGCCCAGATCTCTCCAGAGGACAGATGATGTGTCCTCAAAATCAACACTTCCTTAAAAATATGTACGTATATAAAACCTATCAGACAAATTCCAGCTTTGCACATACAAAAAACAAAAACAAAAAAACAGAAGAACAGAGGAATGACAAGTGCATAGAGATGATTCAGGGGCTATGTATCCATGAGGGTGAAGACACAAGCCCACCCTGAAGACAGCAAGACTGTTTCACCCTCGAAGAGACAGAAACCACTGTCCGCCAGGGGTAGGTGGCTGGGGGCTCCCAATTTCACACTCAAAAAACAGAACCCCACCAAAACTAGTGCATTCCCCTGGCAGCCGACTTACCACAGGATGGTAAGCAGAGACACAAGCAAATGTGTCAGCCTCCTCAGTTTATACCCTCACTGGCGGGTCCTGCTCCACTCTTACCAATGGAAAAGCTCCTGGGACATTGGTTCCAGGCCACACTCCCTTGTGCCTACATGTTCCTGACACTTTCTATGGATAGAAAAAGGCTTTATCTTCATATGGATGGCTCAGAATTGGAAAAGCCCATCACCGTACCTGAAATTGAAGCCCAGGACAACTCCAGGAAGAGGTTCTTCTGACCCAACCCTCTGGCATGCCAGCAACTTGGGGTGAAGGCACCTTAACCTAACCAAGTGGCAGCAGGGTAACCAGACCACACCTACCGATTTCCAGTATTTCTGAGCCTGTGGCCCGTGTGTGCGGGCCACACACTCACCCTCCTCTACCAAAGAGGAAACAGACACAGAGGATCAGGAGAGAGGAAGCCCATCATGGGTCGTACAATGAAACAGGAAAAAGACACAACTTTCTGACCATCCCTTCCTGTGCTCTGTTCTGGGGGTTTGACTCTGAACACCAAGATGGCAACATGGTAGAGATGAGGATGAGCAAGGGTGAAATTCTGGCAGAAGTCCCCAAAGACCACTTAGGAGGAATGGCTCTCCCAAAGGGATGCCAGTATTGGGGGGCAGCCCTCATTATGCCTCTCTGCCAGCTCAGTACCCTTTCTCTTTCATGTGAGTCCTCTGGTGGGTAATGAAGTTGGAGCTATTGCTGAAGCCCTTGCCACACTCGGGGCACTTGTAGGGCTTTTCCCCCGTGTGGATACGCTGGTGGATGATGAGAACAGAATTCCAGCTGAAGCCCTTCCCGCACTCGGGGCATCGGTATGGCTTGTCCCCCAAGTGGGCACGCTGGTGCATGACCAAGATGGAGCCCCGGCTAAAGCTCTTGCCGCACATGAGACACTCATAGGGCTTCTCGCCCGTGTGGGTGCGCTGGTGCACCACAAGCTGGGAGCGCTGGCTGAAGCTCTTGCCACACTCCCCGCACTGGTAGGGCTTCTCGCCCGTGTGCACTCGCTGGTGCTTGACGAGGTTGGAGCTCCAGCTGAAGCTCTCCCCGCAAGTCAGGCACTCATAGGGCTTTTCGCCAGTGTGCGCCCCCTGGTGGGCGATCAAGCTGGAGCTCTGGCTGAAGCTCTTGCCGCACTCGCCGCACTTGTAGGGCTTCTCCACCAGATGCGTCCTCCTGTGCGTGGCCAGGTTGGAGCTGCGGCTGAAGCTCTTGCCGCACTCCGCACACTGGTAGGGCTTCTCCCCGGTGTGTGTCCTCCGGTGCGTGATGAGTGCTGAGCTCTGGCTGAACCTCTGCCTGCAGTCAGGGCACTCATATGGCTTCTCCCCCGTGTGGATCCTCTGGTGCCGGATCAGATTGGAGTTGTAGCTGAAGCTCTCACCACACTCCTTACACTCATACGGCTTCTCGCCCGTGTGGATGCCCTGGTGTGTGTTAAGGCTGGACCGGTTGCCAAAACTCTTCCCACACTCAGGGCATGAGTAGGGCTTCTCCCCTGTGTGGGTTCGCTGGTGAGCAATGAGGTTGGGGCTCCTGCTGAAACTCTTGCCACACTCGGCGCACTGAAAAGGCTTTTCTCCTGTGTGGATCCGCTGGTGGGTGATGAGGTTTGCACTCCGGCTAAAGCTTTTCCCACAGTCCCTGCATTTGTAGGGTTTCTCTCCTGTGTGGGTGGTTTGGTGTCTACTGAAGTTGGAGCCGTCACTGAAGCTTTTCCCACATTCGTTGCATTTGTAGTATTTCTCTCCTGTGTGGGTCCGCTCGTGTGTGATCAGGTGGGACTTCCGGCTGAAGGTTTTCCCACACTGGGGGCACTCATAGGGCTTCTCACCCAGGTAGGTGCCCTGAAGGCCGATGAGCTGCCCGACCTCCCTGCCCTGGGTGGGGACCTCCCGGCCATCCTCACATGGGACCTTTGCCTGGGGCCCCCTGGAGCCACAGTCTCTCTCACGGTCACTTTCCCAGTCGCACTGCGGAATGCCTTCCCCTTCGGGCATTTCTGAGAACATCTCCCGTGACTCTGCATCCTCAAATAGATCTTGATTAGAATTCTCCCCATTGTCACTCTGGATCTCGAAATCTGAAACAGTAAAGACGGACGTACAATTTATATGGAATTTCCTATAATGATGAGAAAAAGAAAGGAAACCAAGGAAATATTTAAAACATTAAACTTCTAATGAAAAAAAAGAGGCGGGACACCTGGGTGGCTCAGTGGTTAAGTGTCTGCCTTCAGCTCAGGGTGTGATTCTGGAGTCCTGGAATCGAGTCCCAGGATTGAGTCCCTGCAGGGAGCCTGCTTCTCCCTCTGCCTCTCTCTCTGTGTGTGTTTCTCATGAATAAATAAATAAAATCTTAAAAAAAAAAGGCTAAAGAATCCTCCAACTTTTTAAACCAGGTTGATTTCCTTCTACATGATTATCTACTTGTCAGACCTCCTACCCATGTGGCGATCACCCAGAATTTCTAAGTCTTAAAGATTTGGGTTCTAGGTCTGTATCTGTTTCTTGGTTGGGAAATCAAGTCAGGTGGGAATGGGAACATCCTAATTAATAGAAGGCAACAGGGTACACAATGACCCCTAATTCTCACTGTTGTGCCTGATGTGTAACAGGTGCGCAATTACATTTGGTGAATGAATGAATGGGTTTTTCACTGGACCACAGAAATTTCCCTAAAGCTCAGTCTCCTTTCAAAAAGAGCTTATATAGTAACCTCATGCATTATGATATGTCTGATATTTATAATCTTATTAGATTATAATAGGTAAGACACAGACAAGATGACAGGGCCCCTGCAACAAGGACTCTGGGGTCTATACAGATGACAGGAAACAAGTACACAGTTAAAAGAGCCCTAAAATGTATCTGCAGTAGGAGCTTACGGATGGACCTCCCATTGGTAGTACAAAAATATATATCATCCAGAAATTTGTCAAACATTCAGGTGAAAGGAATCATGAGGACGGACTGCTGACAACAAATGCATCCTCTTCCTTCACTGAGAAACTCTGAAGTCTATCCCAGGATTGAGCCAGAGCAGTGGAGAGCCATGAACCTGGACCTCACTGCAGAACTGAGTGGTATGTTGATTTAATGGCTCTGGCCAACAGTCAGGAACAGTCTGATAAGTGTCATTAGAAATTAATGACTGTCAGGAACGTTAATGCTGCCAGGAAGTTGTTGGTGACCCTATTTATGCCACACAATGTCCTCTTATGAACGAGAAGGAAATTTCCCTCTAACCGAAATTCCCAAGAGAACTGCTCTTCTGAGCAACTGATGTGTGTTTGCCTTTTGCCTCTGGTCATGGCTGCCTCTCTGCCTTGCCTGCCTGGAAGCTTGGAGCCAAATGCTCAGAGAGAGAATACTGCATGTTTGTGCAGCCCACAACCTGTGCTTTCTTTTCCACTATTTCCTTTTTTGATATAATTTCCTTCCTTCCCTCCCTCCCTCCCCTCCCTTTTTTTGGCTAATCTTCCCTTATTGTTACAATTTTAGTATATGTGTTGCCGAAGTGAGAACCCTTGTGCTCTGTTTCTATAAGTTGTCTTCAATTCTTTTTTGGAATTCTGGAGGGTGTACAGAAATAAATCAATGATTTATTGATAAGGAGGATAGCCTGATTATTTCTAACACCTAACATCAGACCTCCAGAGAAAGCAGATCCATCCAAAACAGGGAAGACAATTAGTAAAATAATGACATGAGGTCCTAGTGATATTCCCATTATTGAAGCTAAGAAATAGTTTCTTTTTTTTTTTTCTTTTTAAAAGATTTTATTCATCCATTTGACACAGAGAGGGAGAGAGCCCAAGCAGGGCAGGTAGAAGCAGAGGGAGAGGGAGAAGCAGGTTCCGCAGGAGCAGGGAGCCTGACGTGGAGCTCGATTCCAGGACTGAATCAAAGGCAGACACTTAACCAACTGAGCACTTCAAGCACCTCCAAAATAGTTTATTTAAAGTTAGATGCTCGGGCAGCCCCAGTGGATCAGTGGTTTAGCACCACCTTCTGCCCAGGGTGTGATCCCAGAAACCCGGGATCGAGTCCCACATCGGGATCCCTGCATGGAGACTGCTTCTCCCTCTGCCTGTGTCTCTGCGTCTCTCTCTCTCTCTCTCTATGTCTCTCATGCATAAATAAATTTTTAAAAATCTTCAAAGTTAGATGCTCAATTCGGTGATTATTAATTTCTGTAGGTTAAGGCAAATTTCCATATGTGCACATGATAAAATGTGACAGGCCCTCAGGCAGAACCTGGGTCCTAGTTATACTGCTAGTCAATATAAAATTGTATTTAAACTTACAAGTAAGCACATGATTACATTTCACGCTCACTAGCACATACGCTGCTGGTCACGTGTGGGCTTGTAGAACTGCCCTTCTGGCTCAGGTCACAAAGCACAAAGCAGGCTCCCATATGGCTAGGACCAGCAGCTCTATGCTTCCTCAACTTCCTGCAACAGGGTTTGGAAGTTTCTAGCACAGAGGTCTGCTATCAACCATTCTTCTACAAGGTCCTCCAGGCAGAGGCCCTGACTGATTTTCTACAAGCTAATACTACCAAAAACATTTTTAAAAATGACTTTAGTAAGGGCGACTGGGTGGCTCAGTCAATTGAGCACCTGACTACTGATTTGGGCTCAGGCCATGATCTCAGCATCATGAGATCGAGCCCCACATCTGCACTCAGCAGGGAGTCTGCTTGAATTTCTCTCTCCCTCTGCCTCTCCCCCAGCTTGCTTTTCTCTCTCTCAAATAAATAAATAAACCATTTTTAAAAAATAACTTTAGTAATTGTTCTCTTCTGAACAGAGACATTAGCTCATAAGGTTTTCCACTGCCTTAAACTCAGAAGAACTGGTTGATATGCTCTGGAATGAGCTCAGAAGCAACAGGGAAAACAAACAAAAACTCAAATTCCATTTGCAGTGAGATTGGAGGAAGATTAACTTGCAGACATCAAAACACATGTAAGGCCTTCCAAAACCAGCAGAGACATGGTTGAGGCCAATGAGGCAGGAAGTGAACAGAACAAATGTGGAAGGCAACACGTGGGGGGCAGCAGGGAACTGAGGGGCAACTAAAAAGTTCAGGCAGAGGGGCACCTGGGTGGCCCAGTCTGCTGAGCAGTTGACTCTTGACCTCAGGGTCGTAAGTTCAAGCTTCCCCATTGGGCTCCACACTGGGTGTGGCACTTACTTTTTTTTAAAAAAGGTCGGGGGGGGGGGGGGGACACCTGGGTGGCTCAGTGGTTTGGCGTCTGCTTTTGGCTCAGGGCGTGTCAGAGCATGATCCTATAGTCCTGGGATGGAGTCCCACATCAGGCTCCCTGCATGGAGCCTGCTTCTCCCTCTGTCTGTGTCTCTGCCTCTCTCTCTCTCTGTCTCTCATGAATAAATAAATAAAATCTTTAAAAAAAAAAAAAGGACATAAAAAAGCTCAGGCAGAAAATCACTTCCTGGAGGTAAGGGACTCACCATTAAGAGCAACAGTGCACCTGGGAACTAGGGCAAGCAGGGCTGGCTTCTTTGGTTCAGAGAAGCACAGGAGGTGAAGCTACAACCAGAATCACCCAGATGACCTATATATTGCAGGAAGCTTTCTGCTTCTGTAAAGCAGAGAAGGAGAGAGCCTTTCACCCTCACATATTAATCATGGCAATTATGACTAAGAAAGTGACATTTTTCATGCATTAAAAAAAAAATTAAACAAAGGGTGCCTGCAAGGCTCAGTCACTTAAGCATCCAACTCTTGGTTTTGAGCTCAGGTCATGATTTCAGGGTAGTGAGATTGAGCCCCACCTTGGGCTCCACACTCAGCCAGGCGTCTGCTTGAGATTCTCTCTCTCGCTCTCCCTCTGCCCCACCCCCCCGCCCCATGCACACGCACATTCTCTGTTAAGAAAAAAAACGAAAAGAAAAAGAAGAAAAAACTTAAATGAAGCAACTGCCTCTAGGAAGGAAGACCACTCAGTAAAAGTCAAGGAAGAGACAGTGAGACAGCAGGAAGAGATGGAGTGGAGCTGGCAGGACTCGGGACAGCAGAGGAAATCTGTAGACAGAGGACAGGCTGAGAGGAAGTGCAAAAGGAGAACAGGCATGCTGGCAAGCCCAGCAAGGGGAAAGGAGGGCTGAGATGAGCAGAGCAGTTAAAGGAAGGGAACAAAGAGGACAAAGGGATTAACAAGAAGGACAGAGAGGTCAGATGAAAGGAGAGGCCATGCACACATAACTGGGAGTTCTCAAACGGGGGAACAAAACCAAAGAACAGAACAAACACTGAAAGCAAAAAGCTGCCAGGACCCTGGACAGGTGCACTATGTCAGGAAAACTGACACTGAGTGGCTAACGACGGGCACGGGGATGGCAAGGCAAAAGGCTCAGATCACTCCCATGGGGGAAGAGAACCAGCTGGGCTCAGACTGCTCTACAGGGACAATGCCTGCAGACACAAGGCAGACAGGGAAAGAAAGGGGATGCCCAGGATTCTGTGCTCATGAAACTGTCCTTCAAGTATCATGTTTGCAGGCAAACAGCTTTGAATATGCACAAATTCGCAGAATATGGTTCCTCTGAGTCCTTCTTAGAGAAAATTAACTAGGAGGTGAGCTTTGGTCAACCAAAATGAGGGGAACTCAGGGCAAACAGGCTGAGGACAAACATCTGACACGTGGGACTCCAGAATGAAGTCTCAAATTACTGTGGCCATTACAATGAGAAGAGAATGTAGAGGCCACAGAGCAACATAGAAATGTCTCTAGCCAAAATTGGGGTTGAGAGAAGGTGGGAAAGAGGACATATTCATTGACTTACTGCCTCATCTGGATTGCCTCCCTAACCTGGGAGTTCAAGGCATACTATTTAAAATTGGCAAATCATGCACCTGAAGTGTGTCCTTACCAGTGCAAAAATAAACATTAAAGAGCGCCTGCCTGGCTTAATGGGTAGAGCATGCAACTCTTGATCCTGGAGTCATGAATTTGAGCCCCACATTGGGTACAGAGACAATTAAAAACAAAAACAAAACTTTAGGGATGCCTCAGGGCTCAGTTGGTTAAGTGTCTGCCTTCAGCTCAGAT